TGACTCTGATGTGGTGAGGGTTCTGATCACTGATCAGGTGATTATTATCTTTTGATTAACTGACTGAGCTGTTAGTCGGTCCGTGCATGAGGGATAATTCTTCTGCAGCTGTTCATGTTGTATAATGAAAAATACCAGTTTAAGGGGTATTGCCTAATTTCATTGTCCTACTTATTCTGAGTGTAAATGTATGTTGATGTTTGTGAGCTCGTTCGTTAGCCCATGAAGCCTAAAGGCTGTTAACGCTTTGCATGTGTTATTGTCCCATTAAGTTGTACAATGAAAACTGAACAAGGAAGTCTAGAGCCGGAAACAGAAACAGCTTGTCTTCAAAGTAAAAGTTGCAGCAGCCAATTTAATAAGAGCTAAGCTAAATAAATACACAAACTGTATACATATATTAAAAATATCTATTTAACATGTTGTTAGCATGTAAGTTAATGGTATATATTCAACTGATATCCATCCATCCATTTTCTACCGCTTATCCTCTTCAACTGATATATGCAAGTTTATTAAAACATACATGTTATATGTTTATATATGTATTTCTGATTATAATATCAACATATACTGACAGGCTGTGAGATGGGTTTATATTTATCTGCCTACAATACAAGCATACATACATAAGGTATTTGTATAGGTTATTTCTACATGTCAATATATGGAATCATTCCAATTTCTCGTAGGTTCCATGTGTAATTTATACGTTTCTATTTTATATGTACAAATATTTCATATATAGAAATTCAATATGTAAGTGATATACGTATATATATATATATCATATATATCCCATAAGCAAGTGATATATATATCACTTGCATATGGGTAGTATTGGATTATTAGTGTTGACTCATTTGAACAATAATAATATTAATATTAATTGTTGGGTCTTTTAATCTAAAATGCACCTAATTTATTTCATGTGATCATTTGTTTTGCATATAAAATCTAATCCTGCCGTGTATCAGCAGAAATAACACTATGAACTGAATAGTAGAATATTTTCCTCTGAAATGCAGCAGAGGTTTGATAAAACAGAAACACTCCAGTGAAATACGTCACAATTCTACTTTCTACATTGAGGACAGTTAATCTGCTTGTTTTGTCAAAAATATTCAGTTTTCAAAATGAGAAAAAGCAGCAAATCGTCACATTTTAGAAGCTTCTGTTGATGGTTTCTGCTTGATAATCGACTTGAATGATTAATCAAATAATTGATGATGAATTTTCACCTAAATATTTCGAACACCAATTTTTGGAAACAAAATGTCACATGTGAAACAGAACCAGTCATTTTTTTTTTCTTTTTTTTTTAAATTGAGTTACGGGTAAATTGAATGAGTTTCTGTGTTGGGAAATCAAAAGGCCTCTGACGCCACACCTCTGTGAAGTGAAAGAATAATACTGAACATGACACAAGGACGTGATCATCTCTTCATTAGAAAGAGACAGAAAAAAAAAATAAGAGCACATGAAAAAGCTTTATTATCACACCAAGCTTTGACATAAACAAATTTAGAGTTTCTGACTTCAAGCTTAGAATGTGTAAACTATTCAGCAATGCCACGAAGGAGAACATGTAGTGAACTCACTGTTATATAACTTACATAATTTATTAAATATCTTTATTTGGCAGGATTTTACAAGGAAGCAGGAAAAATACAGAAGTGAGTGAGCGAGTGGAGGGGATGTACATCTCTCTCTCTTTTCTCTTTCTTTCTTTTTGAACTCTCCTGTGTCTCTCAGAGAGAGAGAGAGAGAGAGGCAGAGAGTAACACGGGGAAACAACAGTAGCTAAAAACAGATCGACAGGATCTGCTTCTAAATGCAGGGACACATTCAGCTTTCACAAACACAACGATATAGCGCTATAGATCGTCCCGGGATGCACAGGAATGTAAAGTAGAGTAGGAAAGAAAACAGTAGAGTGAAGTGGGGAGGCTGTGGGTGTGGGTGTGGAAAAAACCAGGGAAAGTCCTACTTGAACGACTAAACATTCACACTGGGAGAGGATGCGTACACTGTGATGCTCTCTCTTAATACATTCCTTTATTGTAAACCAATATATCCGAATTCTCTCACTCCTCAGGTTAATACTTCACTACGTCTCCTCGTATTCTATCATTTCCACAGATATAACTTCAGTATCATTTCTTTCTTTTTTACAAATAGTGGATTTTTTTTTGTTTTTTTGCGATTAATTCATTTTTGCGTGTAAACAAATCATTACAGGACAAACACCTTTAAGATTATATGACCGTTTGGCAGCCTGGAGGTGAAGCAGTAACAGACAAGGCATCTGCACAGGCCTATAGTAGCGTACTGTACGAACCACTGCAGCTCCATTAGTGTAGGCCAATACATTAAGAAGGAGGAGGACGCCGAGCTGTAGGAGTCAATGAGGATTCAGCCATGCAGGTGAGCACCACCAACAACACTTAGGTTATAGTAATAGATGCGAGGCGGTGGCAGTGGCGGGGGGGGTGGGTGGGGGTGGGGGATATTACAGTGTTTCAAGCTCAAGAAGGGAAAAGTCCTGATAGAAATCTGAGACCATCTTCTCATTCCTAGGTCCCTCATTAAAAAACAAAAAAACAAACAAAAACACAATAAATACAAACATCGAAATGCATCCCAATAATCTGTCTTTTTATTTTGGGAGGATGCGTGACTGTGTGTGGGAGGTTGCGGGGTGGGGGTGGGGGGGCAGTTTTGTGTACTCCCATACAGAAATGTAACATATGACATATATGTCACCTATAAGGAGATATATTATTATCACATATATAAATCCTGTGGATATATGAAGATATGAGTTTATAACATATGAAATACCCACAGTAAGTAAATATGTACAAATATCAACAAATCTGATTCATTTTAACATAGAACACGTTTTCTATGTTAAAAATTATGTGTTAACATTAAACATTTAATTTATTTATGCAAGTTTACTAAAACATCACACATGTTAAAATGTTTATAAATGTTTTTCTTATTGATGTCTACACATTGTGGGTTTATAATATCAACGTATACTGACAGGCTGTGGGATGGATATATATTAATGTCACATCCGTCTACAATATAAGCATACATACATAAATGTCTATATTTGTATAGGCTATATATAAGTGTCAATATATGAAATTGTTCCAATTTCTAATAGGTTTCATATAGAACTTTCACATATATGTACATATAAAATAAAAATGTATATTTCATATATGGAAATTCAATATATATGTCCATATATTACATTTGCGTATGGGCTGTGCATGTAACTGCAGGTCTGCAGAGGTTCTGAGGGCAGAGCTGGAAATGCCCCGTTTCTCCTCGGCCAAAAAAACAAACACAAAAACACAAAAACACAAAAACACAAAACAAAAGTGCATCTCAGCAAAGAGCTGTTAGTGCTGTGCGTGTGGACGTATACATGGGAACTGGTGAGTAACTGGTGAGTGTGTGTTGGAGGGGGGGGGAGTTGTGGTATTCAGAGTCCTTCATTCCACGAGGTGACTGTGGAGCGTGGGTGACACGACGTGTGAGTCCAGCGCTGAGCTGTGGACATGCTTTTAATTTGTGGTTTCGGAGGTGCAGCTGGACCGCTGACTAAAAGCTCCTCCATCTGCGTCACTGGATCTTCCCCTGAACACAGACCCGGGGCATCAGACCTCTAGTACTGACTGGAGGGGAGTCACATTATCCTCAGCTAAATTTGGCAACAGTGAGCCAGTATCGAGGCTTCTTTCTTCTTTGAGCAGCATTTCATGTTCGATTAGATACTCTACCTTCAAAAAATATACTTTTCAAATGCCGCCCCAGTAAACATCATCCACTCCACGTATTTTTACTAAGTTTGACAACCATGGAGATTGTTGCTAGGCAAGCAGTGTTACTAATAAAGAGCAGTTTTAGATAAAACAGGGAATACAGGCAACTTCATCGACGCGCGACGACAGCGCAGTGCAATTTACTAAACTAGAGATTTGACAGCTTTAACAGAGTCGAGCCGATCTGTACGTGAGGTCCAGGTCTTCACGGGTCCACAACGATGGACCTGATCCTAAACGGACCTGTGGGAACCCCTGAGCCGAGGCGGACCCGGGCACAGCCAGAGCCGACCAGAGGATCATTACACTCGATCAGAACGACCAACCAAAATGTGCAAATTTGATTAACAGCTGCAGTGGAAAACAGCAGCGATTAAAATCAGAATTATTTCCTAAGAATGAATGTGAAGTCAGAAAAAGTAAAAATAATTTGCTTCTATGTTTCAAAGACACATTTTTATAGATAAATCAAAGTCCTATTTCCACCTGCTGCAGAAATAAGAAAACATTCTGTTGCCAACTGAGCGACAAACGAACAATAACGTTCTACTGCTTTTAATGTGTGTGACACAAATAAAAAAAAAGAAAAAGATGTTTAATATTTAAGCATAACTTTTCCTAAGATCAGCTCGGGTTCAGTTCGGACCAGCACAAGGCTCCAGTGAGCCGTAAAGTTCAGGTCCGTTTAGATCCATGTGGGTGCTGTGGACATATTGACACGTATTGACGAAATCCAGAACCGAGTGGACCCGCGAAGACCTCCGATGTGTGGCAGCAGCGTATTGGTCAAAATGTGAGGAGTCGTTAAACCGGAACGGCTCCAGAGAAACACTTGACTCCAGCAGACTGGGTGGATTAATACAATAGAGGAATACTAGAGGGGAATAACTGTCAGAGGATGATGAGTGTATCTTGGATTCTTTCTGATAATACAAGGGTGTGGTGTGCAGTAGTGTGTGTGTGTGTGTGTGTGTGTGTGTGTGTGTGCACCATTGGTCTCTTAACATGTGAAAACACCAGCACAGAGGTGAGCTGTGGGTGTGTTGACATCATCGGCCCAGCAGCGATGGGGATTCCCTAACAAAAAACACATTCTCTTCCTCTCAACTCACTGTATTTCTGTCTCTGTCTGGAACACATGGGGTGGGTCTCTCTCTCTCTCTCTCTCTCTCCCTCTCTCCTTTTCTTTCTGTAGCTCAAGCACAGCGGCAGCAAGGTGTGAGGGCTTCAGATCAGCGTGTGGGTCGGGCGGGAGAGACGGCTCATTAAAACATTACGTGATAAATGCAGCCGGATAAATAATGAAACTGCGACGACAGAAACAGACGCTTGGAAAGAAAAACAAAATACAACAGAAGAAGTCTGCGTCAATGCAAAAACACACGCCGCTCACATTCATCAGAGTGAGTTGGATCAGCTGATTTCTGTTTTGGCGCCCTCTAGGGGCTGTGGAGTTTTGCAAAGCCCTGTTTGGAACTGAGAGGAGAGGAGGAGAAAAGGAAAGGAAAGGAGAGGAAAGGAGAGGAGACAGGGAGACAAGGAGAGGAGAAAAGGAGAGGAGAGGACCTAGGCGTGCTCCAGGAGCCACTGGAACAGGGGGACACGGTGCGGCTCTCTGCCCGCCTGCAGTGCCTCCTCTCTGGGCTGGGGCGGGCCGTGGTGCGCCTGGCTCTCTTCACAGTAGCGCAGCAGCGTGTGCAGCAGCTCTCCCACCCTCCACCTCCTCTCCCGAAGCCTTTGGACCACGGCTGGGAGCTGAAAACACAAACACTCTTATCATTCACCTCCATCACCTCTCTTATCAGTTACAATCCGGATTTATCAGTGTGGTGCACTGCCAAGAGAGGGATCTGGGTAAATGTTTAAGGGTTTCCCACCAGCTGTTAAAGCTGTATCTTCTAATGGATCAACACTTCAAATAAAAAACAGAGGAAGAGGAAAATATGAAGCTTTAAAATGTTACAACTGGAAGTGTATAAAGACTAGTTAGCAAACCAGAGGAGTATTTACAGTTGGGTCTAAAAGTAATGGGACAAATGGTTGAAATAATTCGCTCAAAGTGATGAATAACTGGTTAAAAGTAATGGACAAGGGTCTGAAGCAAGTGGCTTATAGTAAACAGTTAGCTGGAAGTATTAATAAACTAATAATAAAAGCTAAAAGTATCAGACAAATGGCTGAAAGAGAGTTTAAAGTAATAACTTCAAAGACAACAGCTCAAAGTAATGGAGCTTCTGTCTGCTGCTCCGATCAGCTGGATACAAACACAGACCTGACCAGAACAATCTGAACACCGACAGTTCAACTGTAGGAAAATGATGCAACAATATTGACTTGAATATGATTAATTGATGAATAAGATCCAGTTCAATGGTGTTATTGATGAAGGAGGTTTACTGTCATGACAGCAGCTGCCGTGGAAACCAGGATTCCACTGTACAACATCTCTAACCTTGAACTCTAACGTCAGCAGCCACGAAGCGACCTGAGCCGGTTCAGGAGAGTTTAATAATAAATAAAACACAGTGGGAACCGTCACCTGCTGCAGCTCTCTGTCGGGACTCAGCTGGATCTGGGGAATGTCGGCCATGGAGGCTGCCGCCCACTGCAGGAGGCTCCTGAGCTGAGGGTCGAGGGTCACGTGCTGAGGGCCGCGCCCGAGCTCCCTGATGTCCGAGTTCGCGATGACGAGCGCCGTCCTGGGAGTGAGCAGCTGGGTCCGGTCCACGCAGAGCGTCCCTGCAGCACAGAGACACGTGGGTAACTGATCATTGCGCACCTCCTCTCCTTCAGTAACGTCGCAAAGACGTGGATTCACAGAGAGAAATGTGGAACAGTCCCATGCTGCCTCAGCTCTGTTCTGCTCAGTGCTGGGTTCCCACGCTCCCACAGCAGAACAGGCCCAACGAGGAACCCACCCTCACCACCCCACCCCCCCGTCCCGGTCACTGAGGGCTGCTCTGGTTTGACGCACACACACACACACACACACACACACACATACACACACATACACACACACACACACACACACACACACACACACACAACGCATAATGAGTGACTGTGGAGGGAGTGGAGGGGATGAATGAGCTGAATACGGGGGCGGTAAAATCCCCGGCTGCGACACACAGACAGACGAACACAGCTTATTTCAAATGAAGGAAAACTGTTCTGAATCTCAAAGAGTGGAAAGAGCAAGCCAAGCCCCCCCCCCCCCCCCCCCCCCCCCCCCCCCCGCACCACCACTCCCCTCTGCTGTCCAAACGTGGTTAAAGTTAAAACTATTTTGTGCCACAATCTGCAGTTTTTTTCTGCAGTTTTTATTGAATCATTCAAATTAAAAGGAAGTGAAATGTCCTTACCACTGGACTCCTCTCTGACCTCAGTCTCCTTGTCCTCTGTGTTGTCACTGTCGGATGAGAGACGCCACGTGTTAGAGAGAAAGCTGCATGTTAAGGATCTACAAAATGAAAGCTAGCATGCTAAAGCTAACAGCAGGATATCAGAAGCCGTGAGCGCTTCAATCACAAGAGACCTGAGACACACTGAGGGAGCCGTGCTGCAAACAAAACACTTCAATGTCAGTGTTTTGTTTTTGGGTTTTTCTGTGTTCCAGTAAATTTACTTTCCTGCTTCTGTGTCTTTTGTCAGTTAAGACACAACGACAAAGAAAACATCTCCATCACTGTGAACTTTGATTTTTTCCGAGCTGAAAGTCGAACTCGGTTTCCCCCTTTGTGTCAATTGCGCAAATATTTGCTGTGTGTCGTGCCAACAGGTAAACAGTCATTTCTCCACTTTATAAGATTGTTAATCACAGTGTTGTTGACGCAGCCCACGGCTACAGACACCCAGACTCTGCTGCATATGATATAAAGATATCATTTCCTCTGCAGAGGCAGGACGACTGCAAATATAAAAGCTTCACAGTCACGGACAGAGACGAGCGTTAATGGACGACACTTTCAGTTTTATCTATCACCTATGATAGATAAGATTAATGGCCTGAAGAGTATAAACCCACTGCTGTGCAACACTCACATGTTGCATCTTTACTTGTTTTTAATCGTCATGTTTAGAAGAAAAACTAAACCACAAACCTGAACCTGTGAGAAACCTGCCACCTAATGGCCGACACTGGACCGGCCATTCGTTACTCTGTCAGCAGAGTGGGTTATATAATACATAAAAACACCTATAAATCTATGTTATTTAATAATCACAAATATCTATATGGTGATGGACATAAGAATCCAATAATCCATCTAATGCACTAAAGACATTAGAGCCGTCACAGTGTGAACATTAGAGAGGAAATGTGTCACTGATCCCTGACCAGGTAACAGCACACGGCCAGTGCAGTCCTCTCAGTGTCACTCTACAAATAGTTTTGTTTCTCTTCAGTTACAGTTTTCATCAAAACTAAAGGATTTTAACTGTTCTGCAGGTTTTTAGGCCTTTTCAGAAAATCTGTAGCAGTTTCCCTTCGTTTCAGGAAGCCACCGGTTTGAGCTGATGTCAGACCAGTATCAGCGTCAACATGCATTAACTCTGTACAGATTACCTATTCATCAGTGAATATTTTTGTTTGGATTCACGTACAACGTTGATGGAAAATAAAAGCTCTTTGCATTTAAAAGATTGCTGCTCAGTCGACTCTGAACCGAGATCAGCTGAAACAAGTGGCTGCACGAACAAAACAAAGAAGACGATTCAGTCCCTCCAGAATGTCGAGCCCATACACTTAAAAAGCTTTATGTTATAAATTGATGAGGTTATATTATAAAGATCAGCTCTACCTGTGATTGAGACGGAGCAGAGGAGCGTGATCGCGTCGTGGATTTATTCTCACTTTGAGTTTTAATGAATTATACAAAAAAACTGATGATTTTTATTTTAAAAATCCCATTTAAAAACATTGCAACATGCATCACAATTTTAAAGAAAAGCTGCTGCTAATCAGGTGTTTCAGCTGCAACAAACCCCCCAAAAAAAGCCCACGACATCCTGGAGGGACTGATTTCTAAACGTCTAGCAGGACGGAGAATTAGAATTAGAGCCTGTGAATCTACCCGTGGGTTTATACTGGTAAATAGCATTCATGCAAAGAAGCTGCAAAATATAGTGACACTACAAATGATTCTATGAAGCAACAGAATTACATGCAAGTAAAACAGCAGCATTACATCACAAGCTGACATTAGTGTCAACAAGCATGCCATGTCAAGCCCAGTTATATTTAGAGCTGGAGTGTGGTCATGCAAAAGGGCTGGTGGTTCCCAGTATGAGACAAAGTACAAATCAAAATGTCATTGTAGTAAATCATTTTAATATGATGAGGAAATTCTCTGGTTCCAATTCTGTGCTGAGATTTTCCACTGATGCTTCCTCGCTCACGTTTTTTTTTCAGCTTCAGAGTTAAATTCACTGATTTCTTTGTCTCATTATAGGTGAACCACCCCCCCACCCCCCCCATCCCACCCCGGGGGTCTCTGCGGAGGGCGAGCCGTGTCGTCCGGCTGCTGACCAACCTGTCAGAGGGGGAGAAGGACATGCGCTCCTCACACGCCTCCCCCTCCAGGCCCAGACTGCTCCAGCTACTGCTGTTCCCATTGCTGCTGGAGAGAGAAGGCAGGTAACGCACCGCTGTAACACTGACAGGCAACATGTGATCACATCATGAGAGCTGCGGAAGATCAGGACATAATAAGCAGTTTCATTCCCGTTCGCTGTAATCACCGCATCTGTCACGGAGCTTCCACAAACAGCCGCCGCTCGGATTGACGACAGTTTGTGGCGTTTGGAATAATCCTTTAAATGTCAGGTGAGGCTCAGAACAGAGGAGGATTGTGGGTTTTTCCACCGTGTATCCCACTGAATCATCCCTGATGTTGATGGAGACAATTTGTTGCTAAAGGCCCGAGATGTGAGATCATTACATTCTTGTCTTCACATAATCCACGTTAATCCTGCGGGTTCCACCGGGACAACCGGCTGGCAACAGAAGCACAACACCACTCTCTCTCTCTCTCTCTCTCTCTGTGTAATTAGACAATGATTAGCGTGCTGGCTGGAACCTGCACACCGTGGCGTGCGGCGCTCTCACTCTCACTGACGGGAGGAACATTTGTGTAAAAAAAAAACAAAAAAAAAACCCTCCATTAATCTGCATTACCTCAGCGGCAGCGTTCTCCCACACGCTGACAGCTTGTTCATTTAGTCAATCATCATGTTCAACGTGTCAAGATTTTATTTTTTTTTCCTTTCTTCCGTTATTCAATCTGCTGTGAGGGAATGGCTGCATCAGACTAATGAATTACACATGCTGGACTTTGTTCCTGTAGAAACGGTGCCCTGAAGTGAAGACAGCGCTCAAAGACACACCTTTAGAAAATATTATGATACATTAACTTTGGTCCCGATGGCCAAAGTAGCTGCTAACACACGGTTTTCTTTCAGTATCTTGGGAAAGAATCTCACATGTTGTCAGTTCTGCTTCCATAGAGATAGCAACCTTTGCCAGAAATGTCAACAGCCGAACTCCCAGAGTCCAGAGACTTGAATGCGACCCTGTTACTGAGCGGGCCGGGACTCAGACTCACTCGCTCCCACTCCCTCCCTCCGCAGCGATGGCCAATTCTGTCACAACTACTACTTGCTCCTTGTACCTTGTGGTGTATTTCACAAACTTGGCTGCACTGACAGCTACATAAAACTTTAACAACATATCCGTTACAGGGCTCACATATAATGCAACATTTGCACAAATCAGAGTAAATTGCATTTTGGCAGAGGAGTCCCAAACCATAATGCTGTGCCCTGTGCTGACCTTGGGAAACCTCCAATCTAGACCCGACCACAGGAGGCTCCTGCTACAACGGGTCCAACACCAGCAATGAAGGAGCGTTTCTGTGCCGCTCCGGGTCTGAGGAGACGGGCGGCGCGAATACACACAGCACCAGTGAGAAGCTCATTCTTAAGTCCATGACTACGCAGAAATAAATGTACCGCCTCCAAATGAACATGTACGCATTAATTCAACAGTGCTGCTGCCACTTTCCCACATATTCAACCCACGATTAGGTCGTTTACATTTACAGACGAGATCAAATCCAGAAACACAGACGTGTGGCTGAGAGATTCACATGAGCCACCTGCTGCTGCAAAAACTAAATACAAACAACAACAACAAAAAAAGATGGCTGCAGACTTTCTGGGAAACTAAACTCTTATTGCTGCTAGAAAATTCAAACGCTCTCAAAAACGGTGGAGCAGATAACCACATGGGCGCAAAAGCTCTATGTGAGCCGCCGGGTCGACTCCCGACCAGCTGGACTCTTTGCTGCATGTCAGTCCCCTTCTCTCTTTCCTGTCAACTAATGAAGTCGTAAAACAAACCGGAGCTTGAATGCTGCTCCTGCTGATGTTGACTGTCTCCAATTAAAGTGCAAAGAGCTAAAAATAACAATCATCTAATGTCGTGTATGTTTACTAAAATAATGATTCATGCTTTTGAAATACTGAAAAGATGCTGTGCATGAAATCAGATACAGAATATATTGAATCAGGATTATTAAAATACTGCGATAGTGTAATAACAAGTGTAATAACGAACACATTAGAGCAAAATGTGATGAACAACAATGTCTGACACCAGGTGAGGCAGCAGCTGGGTGCTCTGCAGGTAACTGGGTGGCTGGTGAGCTGGTGGTTGTACCTGTCACTGAGGTGGAGGAAGCTGCTGTTGTCGTCGAGGTGCTCGTCCTCAAAGCTCAGGTTAGACCAGCTGCCGAGACTGTCGTCTCCCACACTCAGCTGCTGAGACACGGTGGACTCAGTGGCTTCCCTCCCTGGAGAGCTGAACACACGGACACACAGAGGGAGAGGGGTTATCCACCGATTTACATTTACAAAGTCATGATGATAATTCTCTCTGTGCGGTAAAATGCTGAAGAACAAAGCTGTTAAATGCTTCAGAGTGTGTGTGTGTGTGTGTGTGTGTGTGTGTGTGTGTGTGTACCTGACGTTGGCCGCCTGGCAGACGTTGGACAGCGCCGACGTCATGATCTCAGCGGTCAGACTCTCGGCGTAGCTGGTGCCATCGTGACCGATGCCGCTGTCGGCGTTGAGGCTGGTGTTGCTCAGCTCGCGTTTAGCCGTCTCCATCGCCATGGAGACCATCTCCTCCGCGAACGCCGCCCTGTGGTCCAGGTCGATGTGGATCTTCGGGATGTCCAGGCCGGGGAGCCGCTCCGTCCTCGCCTGACAGTCCGCCCCCCTCTTCCTCCTCTGTATTACAGACTGGCGGTGCCGGCTGTGTTTGGTGCAGTACGGACACTCCTGGACCTGACAGTACCGGCACGTCCTCTCCCCCAGAGCTTGGCCCGCCGCCGGCCCCTCGGACAGCCGCTGGGCGTGAGAGTGTCTGTCATGGCCTTGGGTCCTCTGATGCTCCCGGGACGAATGTCCGACCGAAGCCAGGCTCATCTTCAAAGTGTCGTCAACTATTTTCCCGGCGTAATGCTCGATGACCTGCATCACCCTGCTGCTGTAGCCTCCGTCATACAGGCTGCCTGTGCTGTGGTAATGCCTGCTCTTCCCCTCCTTGGACAACAGGGGGCAGGAGAAGGAGTTCCTGATGAGACTCTCCGCCATGTCCTCCAGTTTGGATTTCTTATAAAGGCAGGAGTCAGTGAGAGACTTGGGCAGTCGCACAGAGGAAAGATGCAGCTTGCGTGTGACATCGCAGGTGATGTTGTACGCTAAAGACTCTGCGAAGTTGACCAGGTCCATGTACTCCCTCTGACTCTGCTCCTCAGAGTCCCTGCAGCAGCACTGAGCGTCCTCGCCCGAGGGACACACCCCCGACTCCGCTCTGTCCTTGGGAGACGAGGCCTCGCTGCCTGACGCTCTCCACTCGTCCGGCAGTGACTTGGAGGAGTGGAGGCGGGCGCTGGAGGATCTCTGTTTGATCTTACGACCGGCGTGAGCCAAGCCCTGTTTTATGGAGCGGTAGGCCAAACGGCTGGCGTACTGATCCAGGACCAGCTCCCTGCTCCCTCCCTCCTTTTTCAGCACCCTGATCAGGTAGCCAGCATATTCGTCCGTCACGCTCTCACAGCTGGGATACTCGGAGGACAGGCCGGAGCTGGAGCTGGAGACGGTGCTCGAGGTGGAGGCGGGAGAGCGGAACACGGAGGCTATCAGGTCGTTGGACCACTGCTCGGCCAGCCGCCCCACCCTCCAGTCTCTGCTCTGGTCTGTGCTGGGTTGGGGCTGGTGCTGGTGGTGCTGGTGGTGGTGTCGGAGGTGATGCAAACATTCAGAGTTAGATCTGTCCAGGCTGCGTCTCCTGAGAGCTCTGTGGTACGGACACTGCTGTCCGGAGCTCACCATCCTCTTCACATCGTTGATCACCTCCCCCGCCACCTCGCCGGCGTACACCCACAAGGTGTTGAGCGTCTGCTCCGAGAACTGAGCCACGCTGTCTCTCCTCCTCTCGCCGCCTTTTCTCCCCTCTCCCCCTTCCTCCTCCTCCTCCTCCTCCTCCTCCGCCACTCCCAGGGTGTCCATCTCTGTCGCCATGGAGACAATGTGACAAGCCAGCCGCTCGGCGTAGTGGAGAGCTTCTTTGTTGGACATTCTGCGAGCGGACACGTGGTGCAGTTCATGCCGGCCTCCCGCCGTCTCTGAACATCTGTTAGCTCCTCCCTCCTCCGCCAGTTCTTCCTCCTCTTCTTCCTCGTTGCTGTCGGCCTCCTCGGAGAGAGACCTCATCAGCTTGAGCATGAACTCAGCCTTGTCGGCCTCAGGGGTGACGTCTTTCGGGCCCGGGCCAGGCTCGGGCTGATAGTGAGGCGTGGGGGGGGGGGTGGCAGGGGAGAACTCCTTGGCCAACTTGCTCTTCAGCTTCTTGGAGAACTGTTTTATCTGCTTCTCCTTGGACACCTCACTGGGCTGCTGAGGGGTGGACGGAGGAGTGCCGGGAGTCCCGCCGGATTTTTGCCCGGAGCTCGGACTCGAGTCATCGGCGGGAACAGATATCCTCCTCTGCCCGCCCACCTCGGCGCCCGGCACGTCCAGCGTCTGCATGGTTACCGGATGTGTTTCCACCACACCTCTGGTCCTTGGATCTAAGTCACAGCTGGCTCTCCTCTGGCTTTGAGAGTCCGCGTGAAAGGAAATGTGAGGAACGCCGGGGTCTGTTGTTGTTTGCTCGACGTGGAGCACCTTCCTCACAAACCCAGAGTCTCTGCAGTCGTATCTGAAACACTCCCTGCCAGCTCCCTGCTTCGACGGCGAGTCTGGAGCCTCATAGTTCGCCGTCTCCTGCTTGGAACAAGACCCCCTTCTGCTTCCGACTGTCTTTGTAAAGAAGTCGGCGCAGTCGCCGAAACTCTTCTTCATCTTAGAGGCTGTTATTAGCTCGCAGGCCTCGGTTACTATCATATCCACCATGTTGCCGGAGAAGTTTTGGAATGGGGACTTTCCTTGGGAGGGAGCTCCTCCAGGTGTGGGGGTCTGAGTGCCGTGACTGTACAGGTGAGTTTGTGTAGATGTGGTGGCGTCAGGGGAGGATACAGGCACTCGTTTGGGGCTGGACTGCGGGGTATCTGATGAACAGGTCTCCTCAGGATCCTGGAGGTGGGAGAGGGCTTGACCCGCCTGGGGCACAGGAATACAGCTGGCCATGCCCGACACGGTGAACAGGGCTTTCTTCACGGTGCAGGATGCGTCCTCTCCTGAGGGTCCCGGAGGCGCCGCTGCGGCCGAGCTGGAGCTCAACACCTGCTGGTTGGCGAAGGTGCTGCAGGTGCGAGTGCTGCTGTTCTCTGAGCTGACGTAGCAGATGTTGTCCAGAGACACGCTGATCGCCGCTTGGCTGGTGAAGGCGACGTCGGCCTGAGACAGCTCTATGAAGGCCTCCTGGATAACAGACTCAGACAGGTCTGAAGCATAGGAGGAAACCACCTCCTCCTCCTCCTCATCCTCTTGCTTGTTGCCAAAGGACCAATCACTGGGGGTGAGAGGCGTCGAGGGGTGGGAGAACTGGCACACCTCCATGATGCCTTCAAACACGAGCTCTTCGGCCAGATCGGCAGCGAAACGTGTCACCGTGCTGTGGAAAATCTGCTTTTTCACCGTCAGGAACTCCTTCAGCGCTCCGGACACAGCCTCTCCCACCAGGAAACCAGCTAATCCATTGATCGCTCGCTCCTTCAGCACGTAGGCGTGGCGCATGCCGATCTCATGGAAGGCCATCTGAAACACAGACGAGGTGAGTCTCGCAGCTAAGTGGCACAAGGTGGTGGTGCAGGAGGAAACGCCTTTTTGGAGGTCTCGCAGGGCGCTGCCCAGGCTCATCTCCACCAGGTCGGTGGCGAACCTCTGGATGCCGTCCTTCAGAGACTGGGACTTCTTCTGCAGCTTGTCCACCGTCACTGTCTCCTGTATCTCTGAGAGCTTCATCAGGTAACCCGAGGGGTTCGTGAACTCCTTGTGGCAGACGCAGCTGAGGTTCTTGTTGTCGCTGATGTCCACGGCAGACTGGTAGCCGCACACGGAGCCCAGGATCTCTTTGGACAGACTGCTGGCAAAGTCTGAGTAGGTCTTATACAGAGAGCAGAGATCCTGGGGTTTACGCAGCTCTGAGCCGTCCTGCTCGTCCTCCTCTGTCTTCCAAAAGTATTCCAGAGGTCCACTAGAGTCCACCAGAGGGCTGAAGGCTGAGGAGCTCACAGGACTGAAGAGCGGGCCGCCGTTCTCCTCAGAGGGGGTCTGCACCGGCCGAGGGGAGTCAGGCACCTCAGAGTGAAGTGAGTAGGGAGAGCCTGGCTTCAGGGGAGTGGGTTTTTTCACATTGGCTGGGAGAACGGGCTGGTCGAAGCGGTGAGGATTCATCCCCTTGGTTGAGCAGCCCCTAGAGACGTATTTGGATGCTGAGCCCCTGCCGCTGGACTCAGCCGACTTCTTCTGGGTGGTTGTGGCACTGATGGTGTCCAGAGGCAGTGCCAGAGTGCAGCTCTCGGAGCTCAGCTCCTCCAGGTCATCAAACTGGTCAAAACTGTCAAAGAATTCACTGACTTCAGAGTCTGAGTCTTCCACTCGCTCTCTGGGCCCCCCCGGCACCTGAGGGATGTCCAGCTTGGCCAGCAGACTCTTCTGGTAGCCCACCTCGTCCAGGAAAATAATCGGACTGGGGCTTGAGCAGTCCGACTCTTCCGATTCACTGACATGGATTAACGGCGAGGGGAGTCGAGCTCCGGGGCTGCAGTAAGTCCACTGGGATTCTACAGCTGACGACCTCTGCACTGTGACCGACACGTCTGGACCCGACCTGTGTTTGGCCGAACACTTCTTCGAGGACGAGCTGATGATGACGCGAGAGCCGGACAGTTCTTTCCTTCTCTTGTGGGCCGGGACCGTCTGTGATGCCACGTCGCGCTTTTTAAAATGACGATAGGAAGCAGCAGCTGTGGAGAAACGACGGGAAAAAAACTGGTTAAAAACAACACAAACAAAAGTAAAACATTACCCAACGTTAAAGAGAAGCTGAGGGAACACAAAACCCTGGTGCCTTAGTTAAATAAAATGTAGAGGAGGAAGTGGATCTCAGCTAGAAAAGAACTGACTAGTGCCATCTAGCTGTGAACTGCTAAACTGATTTAAATTCCTGCCACTTTTTAATTAATTATGCATCTGTTATGATGGTATAAAAACAACACAGGGGGTTTTAAAATTGAGGTCTCCATTTTTGATTTTCCATTAGTATCTATATTCAGCTGATGAGACCACAAGATGCTGCACACAAGAGACCAGCAGCAACTAAATACCACCCAGCATCAGCTGTTCAACCTACAGGGATTGTCTCCTGCGTCATCCTCCTCCAGATGCTCCAGGGCCGTGACGAAGTCGTCCTCGATCGACGAGACCGACTGGTTGGTGTCGTCCTCCTCCGGCTGGCTGGGCTCAGCTGTGCCCCTCTGAAGCGCCTGGAGCTCCAGAGCGTAGCGGACACCTGCCATGTAGCAGCCCAGCAGGCCCAGCAAAGACGCCACGCTGGCCTGAGGGTAGACGCTAGCGCCGGGATTATGCCTCAGCACACACACAGCCTTCAACCAACACTGGGGGCGGAGGGAAAACAGCACAGTCAGAAATAAAGAGGAAAAGAAAACAAAATTCACATGGGATTTTTTCATCCTAATCTCACAGGAAGGAGGGGGGGGGCAGGAAGTGTACTGTTATGTCTGTGCTCTGATTGCGAGATGATATGTTACATGTGCAGAACATAAAATCACTGAGTCCATGTCTACGGCGTGATGCAGAGAGGTGGGAGGTCCAACTGCCTGAGCCGGGCGACATAACCACAGAGCGAGAACCCAAACACTGCACATGGGATCAGGAAGGACAGGGCCGCAACCGTGGGCTGGAAAAACAACATCTGTCTGTCCCCACCTGCATTTCTTCAACAGCGTGAGAAAGACTCGGTGCGTGTGTTTATGTGCAGGGACAGTGGGAAACTATTCAATGAAAGTTATTTTGTTTTACTAATGATTACCGCTGTAAATAATCTTGTTTTGAGAGTTTTAAAAAAATGTTTTTTTAAGGACACAGCAGCTTGTCGGGATAAATACAGCTACAGGCAGAGAAAAGCTTCAGTACTTCCCCCTTACTCTCTCCCCTCACTTCCCTGCCTTCATCTCACTTCTGCTTTATTCAGCACGCTAACTAAGGCCTGTCGCCTACCTGAGGCCCGGCGTCTCTGTGCTCTGCCGGCCTGCGGGAGTCTTTGAGCAGCAGAACCTCATCGTTCTTGAGGCCGTGGACGTGAAGCGACCTGAGGAGCTCGCACAGCCCGGCAGGCAGAGAGGTCAGAGCCTGGGGAAGAAGAAGAGGGAGAAAAACATCAGTCTGGAGGTTAAACCTAGACCTAACAAAGTACTCAGTGAAAGATTATTTAATCTCTTAACGCCTAAACCTCCAGGAGTCCTTGAGAGGGTTCCCAGCAAAAAGGGGGAATCGTTTATTTTCAAAAACTGTGAAGAGAAACATCGGCTGCTCATGATTACTCCGTAGTAAATCTCCAAGTAGATGCAAGGTGCTCTTGAAGTTAAAATGTGAGTGTAGACAAAATGAAGGTCTTACTTTAGCTGTAGATATAGTTAAAAAGCCTTTATTGTGTTAGTGCATTTCAAAGTAAAATATGTAAGGAATGATCAGGGCGTGGTTGGAGAGAGAAGTAAGTGTCGTGGTTCCTTATATTTACAGATCTCACAGGCATATTATATAATACATTACAAATAAACCAGAAGATATAAGTTACCGTCGTGATTATAATCAATAAAAATGAGAAATAAAGGGAGGGAGGCGGTTTAAATCTATTTCCACATGAAGACCTGGATACACCAAAGCATCAAATTAAAAAATCCGATTAGTGTCTCTCTGAAGTCATTTATTGAGACGATCGCCTCCTCTGATTGGCTGCTCCACAAACTCAATACCCTCCACTTTAGAGGGCTGTCGTTGCTGCGGTGACTAATATAAAAGTGGCGTGCCGTGGAGTGATCGCCATTATTAGTTTTCAGAGCGTATTTATGTTCTGCTACTCTTTCTCTCCAAGGACAGGTGAAGTGTTTTATTTTTATGTGTCTCTCGTCTTTAAATTTGCAGTTTCCTTCTGTTGCGTGACGTTGGAGCAGTGGTTACAAGTGGTTTTCATACACCCCAACAATTTATTTTCACTACAGTTCCATCCATACGTCATGATACATACATGATGACAGAAAGTATGAATATTTTTGTTCAAAGGTTTCAAACACTTTCTGGAATAAAACCTCTACAAGCAAAACTGTTGTGACAGGAGGGGTGTGTGATGGAATTTGTTTAATTAAGGGTTCTTGATGTGAAAGAATTTGAGAACAACCGCTCTGAAAGACACTGCTGAGCCCAGACATTATGACCACCTCTGTCTAATATGCTGTTGATCCTTAGTGTGCCAAGGAAACAGCTCCAAGCCGCCCCAGCGTGGACTCTGCAGGACCTCTGAAGGTGCCCTCTGGTATCTGGCACCCGGACGTTAGCAGCAGCAGCAGAAGGTGCAAAGTGAAACTGCCTGTGGATCAGATTTGTTCCTCCCCCACACCCGTCACCAGTTTGTGATTCGTCCCTCCTCTGATATATTTATATCACAAACCTTCACTTCCACTCTTGTTATAAAATAATCGACCCAATTTCCTGCATCTGTGAGTGGTTATAATGTTACGGCTCATCCATTATCACCATATAAGGAACTTAAACTCTACAGACAGGACATTCTTACCTGTTGGGTGACGTCTTCCCCTTCACACTGACCAGGCAGACACACAAAATGAATCTGAAAGAACACAGTCGCCTCAGTCTCAGCATTAATGTGTCTTATGCTTGAATACGGCTGAGTGTTGCATATGTTCTCGCTGCTGTTAGTCGTGTGACGAACCTCTGTCAGTCTTGTGGCGTCTCTGGTCGGCAGCTCTAGGCCAACGCCGCACAGCTCCTTTTTGTTCCTGAAGAGGCTCTTCACACACTGCGCCCCGCCGTCACGCACAGTCTGCAAACACACATGCGGTTTTTATACGTCCAACAGATCTAATAAGAAACCAGTGTGTGCGATTGCAGCATGCATGAAAGATCAAGTATTTAGAGCATCCTCTTTGATGTAGCTACATGCTTTTACACATGACTTTAATATAGATCTTGGATAATATTGGATATTCACACTGACATTCAAAAACACATCCATTTCTACTGAGAGCACATCTCACCACATTAGAAACTGCAGTAAACGTCGAGCAACTACAGACCACAAGCGCACAAAACACACATTTACAGAACAGTACTGCATTATCACACTCAATACAAACTGTCCAACACACGCAAGACAAGATCTGTTGCATTTTAACACAACAACAACATTGCAAGTGGGAGATAAGAGATAAGAGGAGAAAGATAAATCTGATTTGAGTTTGTCCTGTTCAAATGCTTTTTAATATCAGGTGAAAATGTCCTAAAAATCCAAAGTCAGAGATGTAATCACTGGAGAGAAGGGTTTAAAACCTGCATTCACAGACACAGCACACTTCAAAATAAAAGCTCCCAGCAGACAGACCTCTTTCCGGACCGAGGCCCGGGACCTTACTGGGACTCCTCTAATTCGGGCACAGGCATCCATAGCAACAGAGAGCTGCAGGGTGGGGGGGTGGGGGGGAGGCTGGCTGTCTGGCTGCTCACCTGTAAACAGAGAGAGACATGAAGAGGAAGTTTAGAGAATAAAGGTCAAACTGCTGAAACGAAGAGACGAGAAATTCTCTCAGTCCTAAATCTGATCCTGTTTTCTCTCTGGTTCCCTCAACAATCCTCAGCAAGTAAAAAGAAGACAGGATTGTTCAGTGTGAGGTCTCTACTGCTCTTAAATGCTACCCAGCTGTCTCACCCCTCAGCCACAAGAGCACCACATGACAGTATCAGTGCTATTAGTAAACAAAGAGATGGCACACTATATTTCTATCCGCTGCTGCTGCTGCACACATACATACTAAAACAGGAAGCAAGACGTAATGGTTTACATGCAACAAAACCTGGGCCGTCCCGTGATTTACTGATCCGACAGGTACCGATTTCACCGCAGGAGGAAACACAGTTAACGTTTTCATTTGTGCTCTAAAGTTTTCATCAAAACCGTGTGAAAATAACATGAATCAAGCTCTTAGAGTCGGCCTAGACTTGTCCTGCTGGTGAGGATAAGCTATGGTAGGCCGCGTAGCTTTGATATCCTTTTAAAAGGCAGGCCTGCGTCAAAGATCAAACAGCAAGGCAAGAGAGCAAGGGTGTGTGCTCTGAGCAGGGGAAACACACTCGGTAAGCAGCATGAGAGAGCGGGTAAAGGAGGCAAAATATTTACAGTGTACAAGAAGGAAAAGTTTCCCAAGAAATCCAAGCCTCCCCTTTGAGGTACAGTCCAAAGCAGCTAGTGGAGTCTAGACACAGGCGGGCGGTCCCTATTGATCAGCCCGTCCTGCATCCTGAGAACCAGAGGGGCAGAGCACATGCCACCGGCTTCCTGCGGTGTTCCAGAACCTCCAGGCTTCTCACGGGTGCGTTGGTGGGCTGCACAAAAAAAAAAACCCAACAAAAAAACAACACAGCCAGCCAGCGCTGCCTAACCTCAACCATGCAGTGCATCCCAATGCACTCACAAGGGGAAAGCAGGCACAATGACGTCTATTATGACTGTGCCTATCTGAAACAGAGATGAACATAAAGCAGTTTGGCAGATCTCCCTTTTTTTATTGTTTCATGTTCAGTTCAAAGCTCCAGTGTTTAGTTTATGCCTACATCACCACCATATGCAACTAATGTGGTCAATGCCATATGTATTTAGTAAAAGAAAAACTACAATTAAATCTAATTAAGTTTAGACTTAAACAAATCCTCAAGGGCTGATTCATGCAACTAATTACCACTGTAAATGCAATGGAGAAAAAGGGGATTCTAGAGGGCGTGATTATCCAGCAAAACAATGCGTCGAGGCCAGAAACTGTGAAGTCTGACGTCCTGTTTGATTGGGGAACTGATGTGGGCCAAACTCTGAGTGTGAGTGTGGGTGGCCGGAAGGATAGACAAACAAAGACTGAGATAGAGAAGCAACAGCCTGGAGGACATGAGAAAAACTCACAGCTCACTGTGAGACCAAACACTAGTCTCTCTCTCTCTCTCTCTCTCTCTCTCTCGCTCTCTCTCTCTCTCTCTCTCTCTCTCTAATGAGACACAGGTGACTCTCTGGTCAGGTGGCGTTAGTGCAGCGGACAAGTGGATAAACCATGAACTCTAGAACTTATTTCTATAATATCTGAGCTAGTCTTTGCTGTAGTTGACACCACAGAGACAATGATGTGGTTCTTATAAAGACAAATCTTGATGCTGGAGATGCTCCACAGTGAAATTAATCAGACAAATAAATAATATGCAACTATTTTCTTATTTGCTAATTAAATTTTAAGCCAAAAATGCTTCACATTTCCCAGTGTCAGCTTCAGATGAGACATTTTTACAGCAGACATCTTGACTTCTCATAGGACGAAAAGCACAGGTGTTACTAATAACACTGTTATTAGTAAGTGTGACAGTGAGCAAAAGAACAATACCCATAACAAGTCAAAATTACTTCCATAACAAAGGCCTACTGTGAGGATTTGCTGATTTTCTTGTCTTTATGAGATACTCTTAAAGACCGTGGGTCTGACAAAACAAGCAGCTTTTTTTTTTGTTACTATTTTCTGACATTTTTCAAATCTAACAGTAAAGTAAGAGACTAAAAGGAGATTCATCAATAGTGAAAATCATCACTAGCTGCAGCCCTTCTCCTCAGAGAATAATAGAATAACTGCTAAGACATGATTTAAATAGATCTTTGGATAGATCTGCATTAAATGTCTCCACTCTCTCCAAAGTATCAATACTTCCAATATTAAGTCTTCTTTTGATTACGGATACCAGCATCAATAGATCAATAGACTGAAGAAAAACATGGATCCATCATATGCTAGATCACACCGTGGGCACGTGAAGTCTCTTCTTAGTGCTGCAGTGTTTACATCTCTGCTGCTGTCGTGACTTCCTGTGTTTAAACTTGCATGTGATTAAGTAGAATACTAAAAAGAAATGCCTCATGTTTCTCTCACTTACATGAGGATATATCAGCTGCTTTTAACAACGAATAATAATAATAATAATAACAATAATAATCTTTATTTATAGAGCACTTTTCATACAAGAGATGCAGCTCAAAGTGCTTTACAATATAAAGAAATCTAATAGTACAATAAAATACAGGGCGGATTTTAGGTCAATGTAGATGATAAAATGTGTAAATGAAAATAAAACCAGAAACCAGTGAGAATAATAAAATATGAGAGAATTAAATAACGGCCAAGTTAAATAGATAGGTTTTCAGCATCTCTTATAGCTCTTGGCAGGGTTTTCCATAGTTTTGGAGCACAGTTAATAGTTTTTTCTTGTGTGTAAAATTGTGTGTATTTAAAAGCCTGACAGTAGAAGAACTGAGAGCTCGTGAAGGATTATAAAACCACAGAAAATCTGCGATAAATAGCAATGATATCAGTATTGATATTGGTGATCCTGGCCCTGGTATTACCCCTATCACCCAACTTTGACTTAAACAACCTAATGCAATTTCTCTTTTAGGGTGTAAGTGTGGTTCACCCAAAGAAAGAGCTAAACTATACCCACCTTGTATGTAAGAAATTATATTTTCACTAGATATAAATGATAATTTCATATTATCAACTGCATCATCAATGCTACTTGAATCAGTAGCCTCACTTGTTGACAACTTTGACACAACACAGTGACTGTCATATTCTACTTCTACACCTCTACACGTTATAATAACTGTGCTAAACATGTAGAAAATCCCGCTAACGCAACCAAAGGCCGTAATTACAGGTAACTCAGCCGGGCTGTGTGTTTGCTTCTGGGGCTGGTACCCGCCGCAGCAGCAGGCCACAGAGCAGCCACACACTGTGGATGCTGATGTTGATTCCCGACTACAGGCTTTATGCAGTCAGTCAGGCAGGCAGGCAGTCAGTAAGCAGCAGCACAGACAAACTAGCTAGTTAGCTACCACCGGCTAACGTTGCGCAGACAAACCCGCTAAGAACAAACCTTTTTGAAGACACGGCGAAAAACGGCAGTCGCCCAGCTTGCTAGTTGACAGGCTGTCAATCACCGGGCTAACAGCACAACCAGGCCGCGGTCGGCTCGGTCTGTGATGTCACCTTATTGTCGTTAGCTAGCACCTAGCCACCGAGCTAACGCTGACGTTGAGGTGTAGTCAAACGCCCAACCGACAACAATACGTGGTCATTTGTCAGTATTCCTAACATAGCTGTTCGCCTTGATCAAGACATTTTACCTCACGACTCAGTGTCGGACTCCAGCAGCGCTGACGGTGGCCGCTGTCTTTGGTGTGCGACCCGTAAACGATCCGTGCGTTTGAGCTCCTCTTCCTACAGTGAACCTCGCGGAGGAAAAACACACATGGGACACCCAGACTGACTTCATTACTTCAGTTTTACGACTAAAATTAGTAATGACCCATGATTTAAAGCTAATAAATGCTGTATTAGACTATTTATCAGAAACTGGCAACAATAACAGCAGCAGCTAAAACCATTTCTAATGTTTGGAAAAGTAAAATGACTCTTTAAATTTCTTCCCAAGAGCCACACTCGCCATAAAAGTCACCAGGACGGCTTCAGGAGGATGAATACGCTTTACCGTTGTTGAATCGATTTCACCGATTCCCGAAAATGAATCGAGCTCTCCGGTTACTGTCCGTCACCGTTCTCCCCATGACAACAAGGGGGCTGGAGGCATCACCAACCGCACGCCGAGAAAACGATCTGTGTCGCACTCGCACTGTCGAAGGCAGAACAATCGAACTGCAGACAAATAAATAAACATATTCATATTAATAGTGGTGGAATGTGACTAATTATTTGCATTCAATAGCCTACAGTTTTGATGTACATGTACTTTACTTTAGTATCTCTATTTTAGAATATTTTTTATCTATATTTCAGGGTAAAATATTGCACTTTTTACTGAACTAGACCTGCATTTAGTTGACAGCTATAGTTACTTTCAAATTAAGATTTTACATTTAAAAAAACATATGACCACTTTAAAAAATACAACGCACTGTTAAAGTTAAACCTGTTGTATTTATCCTTTTTTGTTTGTGACCCCTGGTAATAAAGTAGCTTCTGTCTGGGGCCCTTTCTCACAGGTTTCAGGTAAATTGGTAGCAGTTCTACCAAAGAGAGATTTCCTCTCTAAACATTGGTTTCATTTAAATAAATGTTTTTGCCCAAAGAGATAAAACTCTCCTGTAATTTACAAAAAGCAAAGATTTGGGGAAACAGCGAATACAGATTCATGTTGCAGAACTTTGTGTTTTTTTTCTGTGTTCCTCATTGATCACCATTGGCTTGACAGTTAATTGGTCTTAAAATGGTGCCGTAGACACATCATCTAATTATTCTTAACTTATCTTGCCACTTACTTTCCTCCCTGACAGAGTTCCGGAGTTTAAGGTGGAATTTTATGAAATGTTAATGAAATTTTCCACATTTAAAAAAAAAATCCAAATCCTTATTGCCCAATAATGCCTGAATTGAAGGGTCATTAATCAGTGACAATTCAATATCCTCCCCCATGGTATGGTATTCTTGGCTGCACAGATTCATCAACACTCTAATTTGAACTGAGTAGACGTCATCTTTGAAATGTGGTGGCTTAACCTGCAGAAAAAAAATTGAACTACATGTCACTTACCAGCAGGGACATATTTTATCACAGCTGCCAAAAAGACAAAAAAAAAAATCCACATAACCTAAGGACAGATTGTTGTTGTTGTTGTTGTTAATAATTACAGATGATGAGAATATAATTGAGTTTGCCGGAAAAGCCTGGCAGCAAACTCAATCACTGCGCCACAAAAATGAAAGTGGCACAAATTCAATAGCCATGTTTCTACCGCAGGAACTTTCCTTTCCTTTTGAGGAACTATGTACATTTCAACCACAGGAACCAGGGTCTAAATTTAGTTCTGGGGTAATTGATTGACCCCCTCAAAAGAGGTAAAAACAAAAGACTGGGGGGCTGAAACATTTATACAATCTTCTTACCTGTAATTGTAAATACCATTTGTAATGTCTCATCTACCTGCCTCACTCTGTCAGTGGCTCATGTTTTAAAGTCTCTGCTCGTCTGCGTCACACAAGCAAATTGAGACACTGTAGGTAAATTTAAGTAGCAGTAGCTAACTATCTAGCTTTGTTTAATACACTTTCATACCTTCAGAGTTACTGAATTAGATTATGTCAAGTATCTATGGATGGATACTAATGTCAGCCAGCTTCTAACTTTAGCCCAAGGGACAGTTTAGCTTACTTATGTTAGCTAGCTGATAGCCGACCCTTTCATTTACAGTGTGAACTTCTGTTTTCATCACCAACAAAAAATATCATATCTGAACTAATTTTAGCAAACACTGGTGTTCAGTCACGATCAATGAGACAATGGAGGATTAGTTGTTGTAAAGATATGCTGTGACATCAATATAGAGTTCATTATTTCATTTGGTGTGTTGGTTTAGTTAATATTTTACCTTTAACATTAGTTTTTATTAAAGACACACTGTTTGTTTTCACTCAGGTATTTAATTTAAGTTTTACCTGTTACCATACTTCCATGTTTATATTTTGCTTTACTTGCTTACAACAAATATATGTAATAATAATATATAATATAATAATATATGTCTGTAAATTTGCAAATAAATCATTGTTTCTGTTTGCACTTTGTTAAGAAACGTGCTAAACAAATAAAGTTTTATTATTATTAAAGTATAATTATAATTATTATTATTATATGTTTGTTTTATCTGTCATGTGAACCTGGTCTGAATGTTAACATGTGACATTCTATCCATGTCTAAAGTTGTTATTAGCACTAATTATCAGAATCATTATCTTGTTTCATTAAAGGTGTTTGCAGGATGTTTTAATTAAAACCGGATCACTCTGGTGTGAGGAAATGTTATATTTTTGATATATCATTTCAAACATTGAAAACTTTCAACTAATAAAACAGGTCAGACTGCTGAATAAATTGTTTTGGGTGGTTTTGAGACACACCTGAAAACACCCTACACACACACACCCTGCAAACACAAACACACTAATTACATGTCTGTAATTTTCAAAAAGCAACACATGTGATCACCTGAGAAACATGAAGGCAACATGGCCATTTCTAAAAGGGAAGTGCATTTCTTTGGCACCATTCACACGCAAGGCGACTCAAAGTGCTTTACAAAGGCATGGAAATAAAACTTATGTATAATAATGTGACATTAAAATTGCATTTAAAAACAATAAAAATAAATGGAATAAATAATAAACATTTGGATAAGACATTATTAAGATTACATAAAATCAACTAAGAAACTTTCCCTTTAAGGTGATTCTGGCTGTTTTCCCGCTGTTTCCAGGCTTTATGCTAAGCTAAGCTAACTTTCTCCTGGCTGTGGCTTTGGATTAAGTGTTTACAATAAATAGATAAATATATAACCAATATGAATATATATTAAACGGTTATTAAAGAAAATTATTATTAAAAAGTAAAAGGTCACCAGTGTCTAGTTGTCGCCTCATTTTAAATTCCCTTGAGTTGTTTTCAGTTGCATCAAAGAGACATTTCTCCTCTAAACCCCTCATTTCAATAACTGTTGAAACGATCAATATTTAACCAAAAAAGAAAATTTGAGGGTTTGAGAATCAGAACTTTTTTCTTCTTTCCTCTCCTATTAATAATATTTGGTGGTGACGCCTCAGATTTATCTGTTGACCCTTTGGAGGGGCCCGACCCCCAGGTTGGGAACCACTCGACTAGTAGTTATATGATCAAAAAATTCAGGAATGAACAAGGTTCTGTTTGCTGTTTTTGTCCTGACATTAATAATTAATCACGTGGTGTAATTATGTGATACTGTCAGAACAATCAAACACCATCATATTATCAGAGTGATGAAACTGAAGGTGTGGCTGCCCCTTAAAAATGTTCTTGACCTTTACATATGTAACATTCCTCAGTGTGTGACAGACTATATAATGAGTGTTTCCACCTGTCACAGTCATCAGCTGCTTCTCTCTGAGTGACAGTCAACACCTGAGCGATAAGGTAAGATTCACCTGCAGCCTGTCTTCAGGGTTCAGGCTCCAGATCTGACTGGATCTTTTTATACAGAGGACATTTTTTATTTTGGGAAGAAAATCTTTGAGTATTTAATAATTAGAAGATTTTAAGTATTAATTTTTTCATTTCATAAGATGCATAGTTCCTGACTAGGACTTTATCAGATATATATCGATAGAAGTCACTGAAACAGAGGCTGTAACTAGCCTGTTATTTTCATTCACTCACAGTAAACTGACTTTCTGTCTCTCCTCAGATGGCTTCTCATTTCCTCCTGTGCCTCTGTTTGGCCAGTGGTCTGCTGGCTGCAGCATCTGTAAGTGAAACTACAGAAATATCGGGGGTCGGGCATGGATGGATGAGACAGTGAATTTTTACTGTATTTTAGGATTTCTCTCCAAAATACAGTATAATAAGATCTATTTGTTGAGTCATGGAGCTGGTGTCTACAGCAGAGTAGATCTTGGACATCTGACTCCTCTGGACCTTCTTTAATGAATCATTATAAGTGATAATGAGAAATAATGGAACGTATTGTTGACATTTCCATTTCATTTCAACAATATTGTTGGACACAACACACACACACACACACACACACACACACACACACACACACACACACACACACACGCTGTGAATGTTAAAAGGGGACAACCTGACTGAATGGTGCTTTGTGTTCACAGTGCTGTAAAGAGAGCTGCTGTGAAGAAAAGAAGGGTCAGTTGATTATTGACTGTATTTTTCTTGTTTGTTCATATATAAAGAATTATAATGTGTGATAGTAAATCTCAGTAATCGGAGTCAGGACAAAATGACTTGTATTCTTAAATGTGTTGCCTACTTTTGATAAAACAACAGAACTTCCAAAATAATCACATATGCAGAAAATAACCTCCAGACTCAGTGTGCTTGTTTAAAAAGAACAAAACACTGTAAATGAAACAATAAAAAAGTCAGATTTTTATAGAGACACAGCTGTTATTACAGTATCAACGCTGTGTACCAGAGGTCAGAGTAAAGACAGCAGCTCTGTCCTGCTCTGTATTTGAATTGGAGACACGTCAGCACTTCCAGTTAAATTTACATTAGGGAGCAACAAGTTTAACGCCACGTCTTCTACAAGATCATCAATGGGTCCTTCGTTTTAGACTCAGTCTGTGCAGCCATCGAGTGCATGTTGAAGACCTTCTGCAGGGTGCTCGTTTAAAAACAAATCATCTGGACACGTTAAAAACAGATCGACAGAGTTTCCAACCAACTCACTGGACAGAGCCAGGATAGCTGTTTCCACGCTACAGTTAGCCATTACTCCACTATATCTTACATAGAAAATAGTTGTTTGCTGCTGAATTATTGTTTAAAATCTCGTTTACAGAACCTTTAACACTGGACACTGGCTTCAACATGTGGGAAAAATGTGTAGTTACTGTTGCTAACCTTTGCCTGGACACTCACTGTTTATTAATTGAAAACCCTGGGTGACGTGTTGTGTTGTGTTGTAGCTCCTTGCTGCCCCTCCGGTTGGACTCAGTTTGGCTCTCGCTGCTTCATCTTCTACTTTAGTCCAAGGCCTTGGTTGGATGCCGAGGTACTGGATGAAACAACAGCAGCTCTGTGTTGTCACACTGTGGTTTTGGCTGCTAACAAATCTTATATTTTGTAAAGTTGATGTCATAATTAATGTCTCTAACATTGTGCAGGCCTACGGGTCCATTTCTAAGTTTTTCTTTGTGTCTTTCTTTCTCACCGTCTCCGTTAGACCTTCTGCATATCCATTGGAGGGAATCTGGCCTCCGTCCACAGCGCTGACGAACACTTCTTCCTCAGAAACATGATATACAGAGTGTCAGGCGCTTACAAAGAGACCTGGATCGGTGGCTTTGACACCGTAAAGGTGAGACATTGATCAATACTCAGCTGTTACAGCCAATGAAGTGCTCAAAAGTAATGAAGTAGTTACAAAGCAATCTTCTTTGTGGTAATTACAATTTTTTGAATTAAATTCAAAAATTTAATTTTTTTTACTAAACAAATACCAAGGATGTGCATTTGACTTTCTTAGCATAATATAAATTTGACTTTCTTTCTGACTATAAAACAATCTTTCTGCTCCAGGAAGGAGTCTGGCTGTGGAGCGATGGATCCAAGTTCGACTACACTCGCTGGGCTACTAATGAACCCGACAACTTCAAAATCTCAGAACACTGCATTGAGATGAACAGGAGCCGTAAGTATATAACTTTTAAACACTACACATGATGCACAAACCCCTATAAACCTGTAGGATGGTATTGGTGTTACTACATACCTTCACTCAAGTACTGTACTTAAGTACAACTTTGAGGTATTACCTCATTCTTAACATGAGTGTTTCCATTTTCTTCTGTGATACTTCTACTGCACGGTTACTTTATAAATGAAGATTTTTACACAAAGAACACATGATGAGATACTACATGAAGTACTTTTACTGCGATTCTCTAACTACATGAAATACTTGTACTGTGATACAACACAGTGTAAAGATCCTGTGTTTGTCTCTACAGAAAACTACTGGGGGGACGATAGGTGCACCAGCCGAAATCCCTTTATCTGCTCCAAGAACATCTGAGGCCTCCGCCATGATGACACCACTGCTGCTCTTTCCTCATCTTAACCATTGATTGACTTTCACTTTGATCAGCAGACAGAAGTAGCACTCTGCAGACAGATGATGCTTTCTCAGGCGTTTATTCTTTATTCTTAATACCAACTGTTCATATTAGAGTTTTTAAATTAAAAGCAGAGGCAGAAGAGAATCAGATCAGAATTTTTTAATGGAAAATCCAATTTTGATTTAAAAAAAATCAAACAAACACTTCAAATACATATTTGAATATGTTTGTATTTTATATGGACAAACTAAAATTAACTGCTTCAACAGAACAGTTCTGAACAGTTTGATGGGTTTCCATGCTTTGTGCACCTGCAGGGTTACATGTGTTAGATTGCATATAATCCACTGATGGTTGTTATTAAAACTAAAGAGTAGTTACTTTTCTTTTGTCTAAAATTTCAGTTTTCTCTTGAATAAGCTGATTTCCTTCAATTAAATCACATACTGTCAAATTGTATATCTAACCAAGCATTCAGAAATAAAAGACATCTTGTCAAAACACTGCCCACTGTTTTCCTTTGGTTACAGTCAGGTATCAGAGCCAGGGATGTATAGATCTATAGGGAAATGATTTCTTTTTTGGGCAATATCACAGTTCATCTTTTGTGAAACAGAACACTGTTGTAGCACGATGCAGCATAATGCTTGAACTTATGTGACACCTAAGACCTGATGCACAAAAGCTGATGCCAGACACAACTCTCTCACGCCGAAAGCACAATTTGGACATTGTACCATGCATTCTGACTTTACGGTGTTTTCTTGTGGGGTACATATGTGAAAACAAATGATTGGCTGATGAATTGTTGTGTAGTTTTTTTTTGTCACTTTTACAGAATCATTTTAGGTGTGTAAGGGAGAGAACAGTAACGTACAGATGGTCGCAGAAAACTGTCCTTTTGCCAGTTTTTCTTTGCAAGTCGGTCTGAAGTAGACAGAAAATAAATTAGTTGGGCTGCAGTCTCCTGTCTTACCACTAGATGGCAGCAAATAAAGTCTAATATGCCTGTTGTAGTGTATGTGTGTGTGTGTGTGTGTGTGTGTGTGTGTGCCCAGACTTTGTGTTGAAAAGTGGCATTATTGTAAAACCCATGAAATGTGAAGATAAAAGAGACTTTGACTGTGTTTGAATAAAATAATGTCGTTTCATAATGACAAGTTTTAAAAATATACTTCATCTGTTTATTTGATTAATATCAAACACTGTGTCTCCATATTAAACTGTGGAATAATAACTATTTTCATCCTTTTGCATTCTTAAAGATCCCGTACTTTACACTTTTCCATTGATTTTTTAAAGTTTTGATCCATCAGAAGATATAAAAACCATCTCAGTGTAGTTTCACATCTCCTCTCTCAGGCTTCTCTCTGCAGCTCTAGTAACAACAGGTTGGTGAGCCAATCAGAGGAGAGGAGGCTTTGAGCCTCTCTTCTGATTGGCTGACTGTTTTCTGACTGATCCAATAAAAATATAGCAGATTTCAGGTAAAAACACTCAGAGAAACCAAATCCTGCAAGGTTTGGATGGTGGGTCCAGGTGGGCGGGGCTTGGTGACTGCTTTGTTGTGACATCACAAAGTTCCAGAAGTCCTGACGGCTGGTTTTAAGGCTCAGTTTCTGAATACAGGCTGTGTGCATTTCTCTGTGGACTGAGGCTTTGATACTTTCACAGTATTAATATAGAAGCTAGAGCTGATCTATAATCACACTACACATGGACACAGACCTTTACACTGGAGGAGCTTTTATAACCTCAACCAACCTCCACTATCCAGTTTCAGTTGGACTTAAACGTGAGGTGATGGAGCTCACAGAAGGAAATTTGATCTTAAAAATCAGTTTGCATGTATATGTTAAAGCAGGTGTGTAATATGTTGTATTACTATGACTTTTATTCAGTTGAAGAAAATAAAGAATAATAATGAAGACCAGACATTTAGGTGATACGAACGTAAGAGTGTTTATGTTTGTTGAAAGTATTGGCAGTATTGAAAAAGAGAGTTAATGAATCACTAATTGAGCTATTGCGGTGCAATCATTGATAGCCGCAAAAATCCTGTTTACGTTCGTTCATTCAGTGCGATACATGTGGGAAATGTTAAACAGACTGCATTTATTTAGTGTTTTACAATGTGCCTGAAACTCACACACATTCACACAGTGATAGCAGAGCTGCTCCAGCATTATTAAACTGTTTTATACCATTGCTTACAAAACCAACTCTAAACCACTTGTATCAACTTAACATATTCACAAAGTGAAAGTCAGGACAGGTACGTATAGACATGTAGTTGTATATTTATTCAGTGTGTTAAACCTGTCTGAAACCAGCTGTGTCAAGGTAAGTTCATCTGTAGGTAAAAGTTCACTTACCTTCATTATTTCACATCTGCTGGTTATGTTTCGCATTTGTTTGGAGGTGGCCTGAAATTATGTTCACAATCTGTGGGCCAATTCTGCCAAGACACACACACACACACACACACAAACACAAACACAGCTGCTCTACACAACATGGAAACCAGGTTTACATGCATCTGTGCTCGATGTGGTACGATGGTACGTAATCTGCACAGTTCTGCCTTACACCATCACTCCGTCTTACACAAATACACAAGAATGCTCCCTCACTCCCACATTGTATGTATTACACCACCCTGCCACACACACACACACACACACACACACACACACACACACACATTTGTACTTTTATACTAATGAGGACTAAACATAACTATCATAACTAAATATCTAGCCCCAACCCTTTAGCCCTGTTGAAAGTCTGTCACAGAGTGCGGACGAGCCAAAATATCCTCCCTCGCACTCACACCCACTGAAGGTCTACATCTCAAATTGGTCCTTACAAAGATAGACTATACAAGTACACACACACACACACACACACACACACACACACACAAACACGTAACCTCCCCCCTCCTGTGAACCCCATGGGAGTTCTGCCACACATTCTTTCGTGCACACTTCATTGTAGCAGTGATTCAGAGCAGCTCATGGCCAAATAAGACGAAAACCACTCAGCTTGTTCGCCGGCTCTGCATCTGAGCTGTTGCTGTACACTGACACGACTGCAGCTGGATTTATAGATAAAAGAAAGCAGCAGTATAGGTCGTAACTGTGCGTGATGGATTCGTTGCCACATGTTGTTATTTGTGTAAGACAACACCTAAAGATGAACTGTTTGACTTCTGACTACGCATAAAAGATGATGTCTTTGTAAGCCGGTACTTTATGTAAAGAGAACTTACATTAAACAACCCGCAGACTTGACTCTGGACTTGAACTTGACTCGACCTTGCTCTTACCTTTCTTGACTTGACTTTGGACTTGATGGTCCTGACTTGAACTTGTTTGCATCGTGTGACATAAGACTGTAATTAGACTAGACATTGGATTCTCTATTGACTTGGGACTTGATGTTGTGCTTGTGGGAACTGCCTGTTAACTTAGGACTTGACCTAGACTTAACTTGGGACTTCTTTGTATTGGCTTAACTGTATTGGGTTTAAAGCATGAATTGGACTTGACAACAGACTTGCCAGCTTGACTAAGGACTTTTTCCTGACTTAGAACTTCACATGGGACTTGTTGGACTGTCTTAACTTGGGACTTGACTTGGACTGGCCCATCTATACTTAAGGCTTGGTTCTTGCCTTTCTTAACTTGGGACATCCTTTTACTGACTTGGGATTTCATGTAGAAGTTGCACGTCTTGACTCGTGAACTGTGACGTAAATCCATTAGGTATCCATTCAGCTAGTCGAGCAGTCATCCAGTCAATACATCGAAAAACTGGAGATTGAATTCTAGTAGAGGTTTCTGTGAAACAAAAGTTCATTTCTGAATCCTTAAAAGGTTTTCACGCAAGAGAACAACACTTGGCCACCTGGCCCCTGTCAGCGTAGTGACTCCCTCTGATGCAAAAAAAGGCCATTAGGTCAAGAGACACTCACTCTTTTGTTCTGCTGACTACTCATGAAAGTGGAGTTTGACAATCAGAAATACTAAAACCTCAGGTTATGTAATCTGTAAACGTTTGTTTTTGCTAAATATATATATATATATATATACATATAGCAACTGGTTACATTACAGTCACTTGGTGCGATGGGACAGAAACAGTTTTATTGAAATGCCCCTAAAAGCGAAACACTCGCTCAGTCTGAGTGTTTCATCACCAGCTGGCTAAATATGGACAAAGCACAAAGCACACATGTACAATCTTCTGACAATGGCATTTTGGATGTGGTTTCAAAGATTTAAAGTGTGTGTGTGTGTGTGTTAGTAAACCCTGACAGAATGACTAACTGTAGGATCAGTCGACACTCCCTGCAGACAGAGATACGCACAATTACAATATCATGTGTTGCTTCACTTTCATAGCAAGTCACAAACTTGCCTTATTGAAATTGTCTGTAAAAGGTGCAAATTAAATAAAACTTATTTACATCCACTGACTTAAAATATACTTTTTTCTAGTTGCATCACGGTTCTGTATTAGAATCTTTAACATCAGAAACAGCCAGACCCGGATCTGGTTTGAGTTGTTTCTCTGAGACCTCAGACAGAGATTTTAATGATACTTGGTCAATAATGATTGAGGTACAGCCTCTGTAGTATTTTGAACTGCGTTAATCCCCATCCCCTCCCTGTCCAAATAAAATTTCCTTGTTCTTGGCGGCGCCTGCCAGCCTTACAGAAGTGTATATTCCCTCAGTCTGATGAGGCGGAATGAACTTCCTGTTGTGCGTCAAGAGTCGCTGCATCAAGTTAAACGCAGACAGAGCGGGAGACACAGGAAAAACTGACTCAGCCTTCAGAATTAAAGCAGGATATGTGATGTCCGGTTACATTTGTTGAGTCTGAGCTACTTTATAAAACAGCTAATAGTCTTGAAAACAGTGAATGGTGTCGTCATATAATTTACTCATCACATGTGTATGTAAATAGAAATTGAAACTGGGGCCAATTTTTAAAATTCCCCTGTGTCTTTTTGTGAATTTGTGGGGGAGGAGGGGGGAATTACACCTTAAATTTTCCATATGGTGGTTATTTTACCGGCTGATTTCAGTTATGTTAAGACTCAATAAACTGTAATATCACTATTTGTAAGCCCAACAATAAGGAACCACTGGAATAAAGTGTTTTGTTAATGCTTATTTCAATTTATTATTTTTATTTTACCTTTATTTATTCAGGTGAATTCCATTGAAATAGAAATCTCATTTTAAAAAGAGACCTGAAAAACATAATAAAAAAAAAATCATGAACACATAGTACAAAAATAATTTACAGTACAATTTAAATAACAAACAATGAAAATAACAAAAATTACAAAATTTTAAAAACTTTGACAAAGATACACGATCTGACCCTTTTATATCAAACTGCTGAATAAACACTGTATTTTAATTTAATTAAATATTTTATTTTACTTAAATGTTTTACTTAATTTCTACCAAAAGGTAGAAAAGTTCATTTTACGACTCAAACTACTTCCAAAACCCCAGGCAGAATGCTTTTGTTTTGAAAGGCATGAACCGGAAGTGGGTTTTGATGTCTCGACTTGACGTCAGCTGGCTGGGACAAACCGCACTGACACACTTACACACATACACACACGCATACACACACTTACACGCACACACACACACATACACAACAATCGCGGCCTCTCCCCGGGCTTGTTCCCGTGTTTCTCCGGCTTTTATCGGCTAAAACAGGCTAACGATCCGCCGCTGAGGACCGGACTGACTTCGGGCTCTCTGCCGCGGCTACGCTCGGTTTCTAACGGCTTCGTCACGAGCCAGAAATGCGGTTTGTTTAACACTTACATGACGACTTGTTCTCCTCGCGGCTCAGGAGGAGATTTTACAGCCGTTTGAAGTGACTCCGCCGGTTGGATACGAACCACAGGGACGCCACAGCTGACTAACGGGCATCATCTTTTTGTCGGTGTTTCCATCGGTTGTTCGGCGGCAGCCATGGCAGGAGGTCGGTCAGCTCTCGGTCTGCTCGTCCTGGTCTGTGTTTACTTCCACCGCTGCGGCTCCTTCAACCTGGATGTGGACAAACCTTCCGTGTACACCGGACCCGAGGGAAGCTACTTCGGCTTCTCGGTGGACTTCTTCAAGCCCTCAAACAACCAAAAGTAAGAGCAAATAGTGATGATGATGATGATGATGATGGTGATGGTGGTCATGTTCACTTTCTGCCCATTAAAGCGACATTTTCACTGTTTAGGTTTGAAACCTGAATCAGAACCACTGCTGGAAAGTAACTAAATACATTTACTCTATTACTGTACTTAACTCTGAAGTACTCTTACTTAACTTGAGTATTTCTATATTTTGACTCCACTGTATTTCAGATATATCGTAATTCTACTGCACTTAATTTATTTAACACTTCCTGTTTCTTTTCAAATTATGATTTAACATTAAAAACATAATAATCTGTATGTGTACAAGTATCATAAAGCCCTGACTGAAACTGAACAGTCTCCACGGGGGGGGGGGGGGGGGGGGAGGCAACTACAGATAAACATTTCTGCAGCAGAACTTCCCTCAGACTGATTTATTTATTTATTTATCTATCTATCAATAACGATAACGATTCTGATACTTGAACTTGTGTATCAGCCGATACGGAGTACCCATCGTCGATATCGGTGCTGGATGATAACCTACGCCTTTGCCAATGTCAAGAAGATATTAAGTTTCTTTTCCCATTATTATTATTATTATTATTATTATTATTATTGTTGTTGTTAATTAATTAAGTTGGTATGTATTAAATTATTGCTCAATTTAATTTGCTCTGCCACACCCAATTCCGAGAAATCTGATCTGTGCGTTGATCGTGTACTCATCAATACCCCCATAGAGTATTTTAAGGAGTATTGGAGGCATTTACGTTACTAGTATCGGTATTGGAAACTACTTGAAGGGGCCCCGACCCCTAGGTTGGGAACCAGTGGACCAGACTATCTGTTCAGTTAAGTGTAGTTGAAGCAGCTCCTCCTGGAGCTTACTACTGTAATGTAGTAGTAGCTTACTGTTGATACTCTCAAGTACATTTTGTTGATAATACTTCCGTACTATTACGCAAGAAGGATATTGAATGAGGGACTGTTAGTAGTGGAGTAGCTCTACATTTCTGTATTGGTACTTTTACTCTCTCTCTCTTTGTCTCTCTCTCTCTACTTTTACTCCATTTTTATTTAAACAAACCAACAAACTCCCTAAACTCGCCTTTGTTCCTCAGTGTGCCATGACATTATCTTTAAAGGGGTTAACCCATAACTTTAAGGTGTGTTTAAGCAGCTGCTCACAAAAATGTGCAAACTCGAGGGAAAACTGAGCCACACAAAGTTAGTGAAGGCAGCCTGGGGTCGTATTAAGTTGTGTGTTCATAGGTTATTAAGAGATAATGAATGGTTTCTGAAACTGTGTTTGAGAGAAGCTTGTCCCCTGCTGCTAACACTGCTAACTAATGTTTAGTGTGGGATCTTTGTGCTACATCTTTGATATCACTATTACACTTCTCCTGTTCTTGTTTTCCTGCTGTTTTCATAGAGGATCTGTTTGAAACAATAAGAATAGAGGCAACATGTTGTCTTCTCTAAAACTTTCTATTTTCCATTTATAGTGTGTTCCTAACACCAGACCTCAAAGTTATAATATAAAACTTTCCTGCATGAAAATGTCTAAAAATGACCTCTGTTATATATGTTGTTGAGTTGTGTTCTTACATTATCCCCAATGTTTCCATCAATTCTCAAACCAGAGAAATCAGTGATTTTCGTCATGGTAACGGTCCGTCTCATTTGGTCGCCTGTCAATGACGTCATATCCTCTGTGTGCATGCGTCAGTGTTGTGTTGGTCTGCCAGAAGAGCCAAAATTCACGTTTCATTTTTGAAATACACTTTTTTAGATCGTGGTTGTTTTTAATTATGTATTTTAACCGTATGTGTGCGCATGAAACTGCTTTACTCAGTGTTTTTACTGGTTATAATCACCTGGTCTGTTTGCTCTGGAACAGATGAGACCTCTGTGGATAATTCGGCTCCTGGTAAAAAAAACAAAACCCTCCTGAATGATTGACACTGAAGAAATCCAAACCAGAAGCTTTGGTTATTGTTTTGATGGAGAGACGCTGAGCAGCAGGAAATTACATACTGTGCGTTTAACAGATTAACTATAGAACTTTTTTCGAGTTTTAAAGTGTGTCCATGCTGCACAGTAGTGAGATTATACTGTACTTTTTGTATTTTGTTGTGTGTCACGGCAGATACTCTGCCTTTCCCACAAGATCACAGGAAGAGATACTTAGAGATATCTGCTGGAGATACAAAACCAAAGAGAGTCATAACATTATGTGTACATCTACATACACCCCCAGATGTTCTGGATCATGAACATGGGTTGTTATTTTCCTGTCGTTTTAATCTCAGTCCGCTGACTCTGCTTTCTGACTGTGTGAACAGCAGACACAGTAAATCAATCAAACCGAACCAGTGTCCTATAAACAGCCGAGGCCCCTCGAAGCGTAAACAGTTAACTTTTCCTTTTTTCTTTTTTTCTTCCTCCTGTGAATGGTAATCCTCTGAACGGCCCTGCTGCTCTCCAGCCAAGTTTGGGAAGATAAATCCTGTTTCACTCTGCAAGTGAAACCAGTCTGGTGTGAACAAAGACGTTCTGTGTTCCTCACAGCTCCGTCGTGAACACATATAGAAACTGCATTCGGCCAAATCTTGTTTTATATCTCAGAGCGTCACTTATTATTTCAGGAGCAACACGCGGGTGATTCAGGGAATTCAGAAATAACAACGCAAAGTGTCTCAGTAACTTTCAGAACACGAGCCTCTCTCTGTATTCAGTCGGTTTGTTGCTTACATAATTAGAAATTAATTTTCTTTCACAAATCAGTTTATTGGTCGGTAGTTTCAGCTCTGATCATTATTTATAGAATCTGTTTTTCAGATGGTGCGTTCGTTGCTGATACTTTGTCACATTAATATCTAGATTATTGATACTTTTGTCCATGTTATTGATATTTTCATACATTAATATGAAGTTTATTGATACTCTTGTACGTTGATATCCAGGTTATTGATGCTTGTACTTACTTATAAACCTATAATAAACGAATATTTCAATGTGAAAAAGTACAGCTACAAAAAACAAGATGGTGAGCTCATGACAGCAGGAAGAAGGGATCTTTTGTTGTGTTTGGAAAGAAAAAGTCAAAAGCTAAGAATGTTGTGTGTAAACGGTTAATGAGAAGAGCACCAAGAATGTGGGATACATTACATGAGAGGCACTGACGAGGAGATGCATCCTGCGTTTTATCGAACATGAGGTCACAAATTGTGGACACTACGCTGGCCTTGGCGGACCAGAGCAAATGAGGAAATCTACATCACATGGACCCACACAGACTCTTGCAGCCTGTGTGTATGACTGAGGCATAAAAGTCAGGATATCTCAGCCTCTGCTGCATCAGCGACCATTGATCAGACCATTCTTTCTTACAAGTGTCTTACTCCTCTCCTCCTCCTCCTCCTCCTCCTCCTCCTCCTCCTCAGGTCAGATGTTCTGATAGGAGCTCCCCGGGCCAACACCTCGGCCCCCAGCAGTGTTGTGGAGAGAGGAGCGGTGTACAGCTGCCCCTGGAAGAGCGCCTCAGCCTGCCAGCAGCTGCTGTTTGACAGCTCAGGTACCGAAAACTCTTTTTAATTTGTCTTCCACGCTTTGAGTCGCCTCACAGACCCTGAGACTGAGGCCCCGACTCCCTGAATAACCCGCCTCCCTGATTCTGCAACAGTCCCTTTCTTTTTACATAAATCATAATCCTAATCATAAATGAATGTGTCAGTGTCTGTGAATATAATGCTCACATGCAGAATTGAATAGTCATAGTTCATTTAAATGGTGTTGTGTTTGCAGGCCGTCTGTCCGTCTCATCCTCGTGAACGTGATATCTCACAAACACTTTCAGGGGATTTCTTCAAATTTACCACAAACGTTCACTTGGACTTAAAAATTGACTAATCAGAATTTGGTGGGCAAAGGTCAAAGGTCAGGGTCACTGTGAAACCTTTTTGGGCCATAACTCAAGACTTCAAATTACGACAACAGTTAACTCAAATGTCTAACAAGGTAAAATTATGAATTGATGACATTTTATATCCAAGCGGTCAAAGGTCAACTTCACTGTGATGTCATAATGTTCTAGTTTGTCTAGTTGTGCTAGTTTTCTCATAGAAAACTGTCAGGTTCTTCTTTGTGGCCACACAGAGGAATTTACTTTAACAGTGTTTTAACAGTCTGGTTCAACACCTCTGAGTCGCTGCCCCTCAGATTTCTACAGCACTTCAAGTACGTCTGATCTTGTGCTTGTCGATGACTGTTTTCCCCTCTGACCATGAAAACTGACGCAGCTGTTCAGGTTCTCGTAAGACAACTTACAAAAGAACATCTGTTCCATCCTCTGAAGATGTGCGTCCATTTCTCCAGAACCTTAAATATTCATGAATAAATGAGCAACAATAAATGTTAAATTTAGTAAATCAGCTGTCTAGCTCTTCTGATTTGTCTGCCCCAGTTTGAGTTTAAAGTTTTACAAGTTGCGTCCTTGTTGATTTAATGACACCTGTGGTTACCATAGTAACAGTGGTTTGGTTTAACAGCAAACACCTTCTGAGCAGCTGCTCTGTCAGAAATCCACTGAGGCTGTTTCCAGTGCAGCCAAACAAAGTTAGGTTGTTTTAATGAAGACGTCAGTCAGTGATCCTCACAGCCAGTAGTTTTCCACACGACAGCAGGACACAGTGAAATAAAACCTATTACATATAGAAGTAATTACTGAATGTAAATATATTGAGTGGCTGTTGCAGAAATAGTCTCAAACTACAGATCTTTAGGCTTTTATCATGCATGCATATAAGTATAATAGCTGTTGTTAGGATATTATTTCAAACTCAAAAGCTGCTGTGGACGAGTAGGTAATGAGTTGTAAGAGCGCTGACAGGACCGTCAGTCAATGAAAACCACTTGGTCATTTTTCATTTCTAGCAACAGAGCGTGTTGGTTTTCTCTGTTTGCAGTAACAGTGTCGTATTGATGAGATAATAAAGGCTTCAGCTCAGCCTGCTGCTGTTACCTCATGTCAGGACACATTCAGGAATGTGTTGTGAATCAGGAGGTGTGTGGACCCGCTGTGTGTGTCCCTGAACTCCTGCTCCTACACTTAATATACCCAGAATGCATCTCTTTCCAGAAGTGAAAATACGTGTGTGATTTATTGTTTCAAATTCTTGGAAGAGGACCGCTCTGTCATTACTGTATCACTGTAGATATTAATACAGTCACATAGAAGACAAGACATTAGAACAAGTGTTCGTCCTGTTAGTGCCTTCCTTTATTTGTTTTCATTCCTCTGTCACACCAGCATAGACACTCTGCAGGAGTATATGTTAACTGGTTTCTGTGTTTCGACTGTCTGTCTGACATGCTTTACAGTAGCTGCAACTGATTTTCATTATAGTTTAATGTATTGATTATGCTTTTCTGGTTGATCCATTAAAGCTCCATGTTTTCCTTCTTTTATTTGAAGTGTTGATCCAGCAGTATTAATATAGAAGCTAGAGCTGATCTATAATCACACTACACATGGACAGAGACCTTTACACTGGAGGAGCTTTAATGTTCACGTAGTGAAAAGGTTTTCGTCTTCGTAGATGATTCGTTCAGGTGCTTGTGGTTCGTTGGTTCATGCTTTTTCTTGTCTATATTTTTATCTTTTATAAACACTGAACATTTTTACTGAAGTATATGTGCAAATAGGAGAAATATATAGCACATATAATGTATAAAGTTTGCTCTGTGTGCTGTAAAGCTGCTGGAAAAAAAGATTTGAAAGCAACTTGTAAAACAGGAGAGGAGAACATGAGTCAAAGAACCAACGGCATGTTTTATTATGTTATTTCCTGATATTCCTTCACTGATAGTTCAGTCCGTTTCCTGGTGTCAAGGAACAAACCGTTGGTGTGTGGGTATCTAGGATAACCATGTTCCAGCAGCCGCTGACCTTCCAACAAATTAAAACACTAAATTAATTATGTGTAAATTAGAGATTAACTGAGACTCTCAGGCGGTCCACCCTAACACGGATCACATGATCATGGAAAGTTTAGGTTAGATGTGGAGCCAAAGAAAGTAAACTGTGTCCTGGTGACCTAGTGGTTAAGACGCCACCATTGTAACACATTTGGTTGGAGTCCAGCTGTGGACCATTGTTACACGTCTCATTCCTCTCTCTCTTCCCCCATGTTTCCTGTCTTTATCTCCACTGCCAGTCAAACGAATGCAAAGCGCCAAAAAACTTGAAAAGACAAAAAAGAAAGTAACTTCAAACTGACACATCTTCATTTTATATAGTGGTGGAGATGCCAAAAATCATGGCCAACACATCTAGAATATTTCCATTTGCTCTGATAGTAAATATGTCAGTGTTATGAGGAAGGGACTGGAGCTAAAGTTAAGACAGGCTGCTGGGTGACAGTGGCCTTCATTTGGAAAGAAATGTATTTTATCAGAGACATTTTGTAAATGTGATTAAGCAAACAGAGGCTCCACTTCCTGCTCTGTCTGGTTCTTTCATTTATTTATGACCAGCCGGAGCAGTTTCACAGTGTGGGTGTGATCTGGTGTGTGCATCTTTGATTAAAGAGTCAGAGGTCAAAGCCTGTGGACAAAAAAACTGAAGGTGGAACATTTACTACAACTCCCAAAGTGCATTTCTGCAAGAAGCGTCCAGACATGGAGGTTAAAATAATTTGCACCACTAACAGCAGCAGAAGCTAGAAAATGTTCTGCAGCTTAAATTCATTCGTTTAGATGAATTCAGCTGCAACAGCCGACTCACACCTCCCACTGGCTTTTTCTCCATAGGCAAGCTGAGACTCATGGGTACTGTAGTCTTAAGAGCTGTCTGCCAAGACAGACTGAGACATGAATTAATATACCTTGGAAACAAAGTTGAAATAAGTCCTGTGTGTGTGTATAAAGAGTAATGGTGTTATCAGAGGCAAAGCTACAACAGAGAGCGATGTTCTTCGCCTTCATGTTGTCCGTCGTCGTCTCTCTTCATCCTCCATTGTTGTTTAAATCATAAAAACCAGCTGTGTCCCAGTTCTTCTTGAAGCCGCTGTAGATAGTGAGCGCCCAACTGAATTGAGACGATCTGGTGTACGGAGGATTTTCACAGCTCCTGTTGTCGAGCAACCTTGACTACCTGTAACTTTTTCTCACAAAAACTTTGGGTTTTAAGTCCCTTGTTTTTTTGAACAGTTGTACCATTGTACTGTTGAACTGAGCTGAAACCCAATACTTACATTTAACAGTTTAATCCTCAGACTCTCTGTTTGCTTCCATGTTATTTTCATCACTGGTGTGCAATGAATCTTGGGATATGTTGGGCTGTCGTTGCCCAGGAAAAGATGGATTTGAAGGAGCCTTTGAAATGCGACAGTCTAGCTGCGCCGCTGTGACGCCATCGGTCTTCAGACGCATCCTCCGAAGGATGCGGGCCCTGAGCTCAGTGCTAAAACATTTTAATTGAATTAACGCCTCCAGGAAAGTGTCATGAAAGTGTCAGAACAGCTGTGCTGGATTCCATCTGATTGTTCAGGTGTACCTAATAAAGTGACCACTCAGTGTAGGGCTCAGTGAACTCAGCTGAGTTCTTGCTGGTTTATCAGTGTCTCTCGGGTGTGGACTGTACTGCCTCACGATTAATATTTAACTCAGATAATCAGACACACAGTGAATGAGAGGTATTGTCTTTCTGTCTAATGAGACACTGAATCCTCAGTGACTCACAGCTCACGGTTTGTCTTTGTGTCTGGTTCAAACAAAAACCTAAAATCAGCAGCAGAGCAGGAACCTGGTGTTTCACACAGACATTAAAATCATATGATGTCATTTCAGTTTCCCCCTGAGGCAGCTCAGTTCATGTAGCAACAACTGATCGATGCCCCGATGATGGTGATTAAGTATTCCTGTTTAAACCGGTGCGGATCAGAAACCATGCCCTCCCTTCTGCAATGTGAAGAAATAATAGAACTTTGTAACCAAAGATTCTGTCGTGTAGAGAGCTAATAAAAACAAATGAAATGGTCCGAGTTGCCAAACAGACACTTAAGGTGTAATTGATTTCCAAACGTCAATCGTGCATCAAGTAACACTCAGGAAAACTTTCCACCTTAAAAGTGTCTGCTAGCTGCCGGTAGCCTCTGAGCTGCTCAGTGAGTTAAATGGTTAATTAGTCAAGATGAAAAGACAGAAAACATCCTTTCATTCATCGTTCACTGATGATGAAACTGTTTCATTTGCTCCTGCAGGTTCATTGCAAAAACAAACATCTAAAAACATCACAGCATGCATCGCAATTTTCTAGAAAAGCTGCCGTGACATGAGCCGCAATAATCCCAAAAAATGTCAGTGAAATCCTGGAGGGACTGATAGATTTTTTGCTTTGTCAATAAAAAGACAGAAAATAGGGAGAAATGTCTGTTATCATTCACCAGAAAACTGCATCAAGCCCTGATATTTGTGAAGCTGGAAACAGCTAATGTTTTGTTGATGGACTAATTGATTAATCAACTAATCATTGCAGCTCTGAACAGAATCTGACTGTAGGACTGAAATCTACTGAACTAAAGGGAGGCGACACTAATGAGGAAGAGCAAGCGTGTGTGTGTGTGTGTGTGTGTGTGTGTGTTGTTGTGTGTGTGTGTGTGTGTGTGTGTGTGTGTGTGTGTGTGTTTGTTGTGACTGTGGCTGTACTCTGCGGTAGACCTCAGCCATGAGAGGAGGAAGTAATAAACACTGACACACACAGTTGTGCCCTGTCCTTTTTTAAATACACAACATACACACCGTGGTGCAACATAAGCCCCCTGCAGACATGTAGTGTGTCATCACAGTAATAAACAGTAATCAGTAATAAACGACGTTCTATGACATGTTTAATTACCATCAAACACATTACACACATCATATAAACAGTCGGGATATTGATCGGTGACTCTGCTTCCTCGTCACCTCAGACTTCGTCCGTGCTGCAGTTCGTTGCCTTCATGCTGTGAACAGCTTCAGGTCTGTTGTGCCCTTAAAAGGCGAATTTGTCTCCCACCGCTTCAGTAAGTCACAGTATGTTTATTTGGAGCCTGACAGTGTAACTGCCCTGCCCTGCTGCAGTGCCTCTGAGCAAGGCGCTGGACACACGCAGACCCTGCAGGCTCCTGTTTGCACTGACAGAAGTCAAAACACTGATGTTGTTCCCTCTGGCCGTGGTGGTGTTAGTGAGTGGCCTAGTTATGCGTTTTCCTCCACAATTGAGGCCTTTGTTGTTGATTTGACCTTCGTGATCGCTGCCTAAAGCTTCACTGGACCAGAGAGCAGAATTAACTGGAATTCTGCTCTGATTGTGTGTGTGTGCGTGTGTGTGTGTGTGTGTGTGTGTGTGTGTGGTATGACTTTGACTCAGTGTTAGTCTGGTCTATTCTGGCTGTTTAACCATGATGCAGCACAAGCTTTTGTTCCTGCTCGGGTTTTTATTTTCTTTTATTAGTGTGGCTCGTCTGCTCATGCTGCATGTCTTTATATATCTCTATATTTTAAGGATTTATTTTACTTCTGTACGGGGCAGCAAGTAGCAGGAAGTGAGTGGAAAACAACATATTAATAAAACTCAGACCATCCTCATTCAGAGTGTGTCCTGTTAGATCTGTGTAAATTAAATCTCTTTGGGCTGTTGGTTGGACAGAACAAGACATTTGAGGACATCCATTAAAAAACTGTGTGAATATAAATAAATCAGCAACAGAGTCATTCATTCATAATAGTTGATCCTCTGACTTTTCATCTAGCGCCATCATCAGGTCAACAGTCCCCTCAGCCTCCATACTTAAATATTATCATTCAATGACAAAAAAATAAAAAATAATAATACGTTTTATTTATAGGTGCCTTTCGAGGTAACCAAGGACACCTTACACCTCACAGTAAAAGATGAAGTACAAGTACATGAAATGGAAATAATAATCTACAAGACATAAAATACAAAATAAATTAAAATAAATATAGTTGCATAAAGATCAATATGATTAAACGCTGGTGTCAGAGTTAAACAGAATAAGGAGGTTTTTGAAGAGGTTCCATATTAAATCTATCTATAAATATGTAAATATAATTTAATTGAACGTAATGTCATTAGCAAATGTTAGCATGCTAACGTGCACTAAGATGGTAACAATGGTACTTCCTTTGTAGCCGTCGTAGACCGCGAAGGCTGAACCGAGATGAGGCGTTCTGATTCACGGAGGAACATGTTGCTTTTTTATTTTACAAAAACTTGAAGTTTTAAGGCGCTTGGTTTTAACAGCTGTACCGTTAGCTGTTGAACTGAAACCCAATACTTACATTTGGAAGTGAAATCCTCAGGCTCTCTGCCAGTGTTGTTAGCTGCCATGTTATTTTCATCACCCGTGTGCAATGACACCCGTTGGAGCCTTCGTTTCCTCAGAAAAGAAGGACGCTTTTCTGTTTGAAGGAGCCAGTGAGCCGGGGCAGTGCAGAGACGCCGCTGTGACGCAGTCAGTCAAAGGATGCAGCCACTGAATTGGGACACAGCTAGCGTAGTGTACTCTGACATCTCTGTGGCTCAACCAACGCTATGTGTCATAACTCGTGATTCACATGTTGGATTAAGGATTGACACAAACAACAAACAGAAAGACAGAGTCTGTTGTAATGGTTACAGTGCTGTTAAGACGCTAACTTAGCTGGCAGAAAACCCGTAGCATCACGCGCGGCTGATTCACCGCCTTAATTACAGATTAGGGTTCAAATATCCGACTTTTTGCCGAACTTGGGGAAACTAATCCACAGTGTCCGTCTGATGTGGACCAAAAACCAAAGACCTCTGTTTAATAAAACGTACTGAGGCTCTGAGATTCAGAGGAAATCCAACAGGCACGGCCAACACTTGTCAGCAGGTTGGAGTTTCCCTCCCTGACGGGAAAATCCCAAACATTTCCTCAGTGTCTGCGTACATTACCCCAGACCAGGCTTAAGTATTTATCTGCTTCCTATCCACATATTGTGTCGGATTTGTGAGGGACTCCTTTTATTTCAGCAGCGACACTGAGCTCTGTGGTGTTTTCTGTTTTGAACATAACTTGAGCCAGCTGGATCCGGGCTGTACATGGCATTAGTGTGGTTTTGATTTCATCACTTTATCGGGTTTATATTTAGTTTTCCTCTGAACTGTGTGTCTAACTAACGTTGCTTTAGTGTAGCTGTTACACAACTAACTTGTTGAGAAGGTTTGCCCAGTGTCCAAGTGCATTTACTCAAGTATTTATATTGAATGTAATTGTCTTCTTCTGTGATGATGTGGCCCATTGGTTGTCTGGCAAATCTGGCAACGCTCCTGGTCTGAGATGATCTCACTAATGAAGACCTCTCTTATCTCAAAGTGTTTCTGGTGCCATTTAGACCAGTCAATAATCAGACTGTTACTCTTTGCAGACGACAGGACGAATAAAGACGGGGCTCAGATGGAGTTTAAATCCAAGCAGTGGTTCGGTGCCTCGGTACGATCTGATGGAGAGCACATCCTGGTGAGAGGACTACACCACACACACAGACACACACACACACACACACACACACACACACACACTTGTTGTTCTATACTGAACCTACACTATGAACCTTAAAACCAAGTATCAACCTTTGAACAGCCTTTTGAAGTTGTCAGGATGCAGCAACATGTCCTCATAATGTCCACACACACACACACACACACACACACACACACACACACACACACAAACACACACACAAACACACACACACACACACAGACAGACAGTGACGGCCTGAAGCATTGACTGTAATAGCTAAATGAAATTAACTTCATTCATAGCATCAGCCAGTACATGGATACTGAATCGTCTCCTTCCAGTAGAGAACTATATAAATACTGTATATCTATATTAAAAGTCAAAAGTCAACTTGACGAGCGAGTGTTGAAACATTGCGAGCGCTCATAACGTCTCCGTGCCCGTGAAACCGCAGTTGTGCTCGCGGAGCAGAGATGCTCACTCGCCTGGTAGGACTTCTGCTGACGGATCGGTTCAGTGCGCTCACATCACGTGCACGGTTTGTGTGCGTGACCTAATGCCCGGACTGGTTTGGGTCTTTATTATGTGTGTGGGTGTGTGTGTGTGTGTGTGTGTGTGTGCGTGCGTGTGTGCGTGCGTGTGTGTGTGTGTGTGTGCGTGTGTGTGTGTGTGTGTTTTCCAGGCCTGTGCTCCTCTGTACCAGTGGTCAACCTTTGGCGTCTCTGAGCGAGAGCCAGTGGGAACGTGTTACCTGAAGAAAGGAACCACGGTGGTGGAGTACTCGCCCTGCAGATCAAGTCTGTCTTCTTCTTCTGTCTTCTCTTGAGCTAACCTGCATGAAACATGTTGCAGGTGTTGCATGTTTAAAGAGTAACTGAACAACAGGCTGAAAAGCAGAGTTTTGTTGTTCTCTGCGGTTGAAAGTGTTTCACGTCTCTTGGTTGTAGTCAGAAGTGAGCTTTGTTGCTCCTGCAACCACACCTAACAGTGATGTCACAGTGTACTGGAGTACACCTGTACATCACTGCAGGTAAAAAAAAAAACCAAGATTCTCAGGGGGTGTTAAGTTACTCTTTAAAGCCCCCATATTTTATTTGACGTGTTGATACATAAGAAGATATATTTGTGGTTTTAAGAACCAAAAGGTCGACTGCTTTGTTGTGACATCACAAAGTTCCAGAAGTCCTGACGGCTGGTTTTAAGGCTCAGTTTCTGAATACAGGCTGTGTGCATTTCTCTGTGGACTGAGGCTTTGATACTTTCACAGTATTAATATAGAAGCTAGAGCTGATCTATAATCACACTACACATGGACACAGACCTTTAGACTATATTGAGTTTTAAAGGACTGAACCTGCAGCTCCCCTTGGCTTTACACAGCTGTAAACAGGATGCAGTAATTGTATGTGATTATTAATAATCGTGTCATGATGATATGTCAGTGTTGTGTTCACAACATGCTTCCGCTGAAATGAATAAGACAAAACTCAGTTAGTGCAGGTTTAAGTAAGTAGCTCAGATCCAGTCAGTAGTGCTGCTTCCTGCATCAGGACTCACTCATGAATCCAGTACCAAATGTAAATATTTCAAACAAACAGTGCATCTTCTTATAATAGCTGTAAAAATAATTTCTTCTTCTGTCTACTTCTCTTTATATGATATATGACAAAATGTTTGATTTCTCCATCCAGATGCCCACTCACCAGAGGGGCAGGGCTTCTGCCAGGCCGGCTTCAGTGCCGACTTCCTTAAGGTAGGTAACCGAGACCCAGACAAACTCAGCGTCTACAAGTTTTAATTCAAAGGGCTTTCTGTAGCAGCACTGTGAGGAGAGTCTGCTGTGGTGATAGTAACAGAGTTGGGAATCAAGGGTTGACTTACAATTAGATCAGATTAGATTCAGTAGTTACGAAGAGATCAGATGCAGTTTAGTATCTGACCAGACTGTGGAGACAGGAGCGAAGTGCATGTGGAGGGTGTTTCCCACAGAATTAGATCCTGTTAGGCGACGTCCACACTACTACATGTCCATCCAGACTAACACACCTGAAAACACACACTTACATGACCATTCATGTACAGTGGGCCCGCGTGAGCTGGTGTAAACGGGAAGTAGATTGTCTACTCTGCAGTTGATTAGTCGCACAAAACACTACAAACAAGGAACGGCAAAGACAGCTGTAGCATTAAAATGCAGAATTTAACTGCTGCTAGCAAAAACAACAAGGTCAGTAACATGTGTAAGTCATTATTCATCTTGATTTCACCACTGGTAGTTGATGCTGATGAGACCCAATCAGGGAACAACCGTATGTGTCTACATCATCGTTTCCGAAGGTCTCCGACAACGCAACCCCAGAGTTTCCGGCAGCGTTTCCTAAAGTCTCTGTTTTTGGTAATTGAAATCTCTGGAGTCGTGTGGGCGGGAGGAGGAAACGTAGCAAAAGACATGCATTTTAAAATGAAAAGGTAGTAGTGTGGACGTAGCCTGTGGCTGCAGTTCCACTGTGTATAAAAACAGGGTTATGGTTGGGGCTTGATCCTGGGCCTGCATGTATTTGGGTCTGTGCGGTTGTCGAGGCGGAGGTGTTGTCATTTACCGCTCACACCTCTGGGAATGGAGAAAGTATTCTTTGCTGACTTCAGGGACCGAATGAGAAACGAAAGTCATGAAATCTTTTCCTCTGTTCCTCTTTGTTTTTGTGGTTTCAGAACAACAACAGGGTGGTGGTGGGAGGACCTGGCAGCTTCTACTGGCAGGGTGAGTGTTACACTAAGAGAGAGAGTTTGTGTGTGTGTGTGAGCGTGTGTGCGTGTGTGTGTGTGTGCATGTGTGTGTTTCTATCATAGGCTATGTTTGTGGACAAATTCGGACTAAAGACAAGTTAATTGGGGACAGCTTGACGGAAAGACTTGATTTTTGGGTCAGTGGTGAAGGGTTAGGCAATGTTCAGTCAGTTAAGCATAAAGTACATTTTCAGTACTTAAGTTTAATACATTCAACAATATAATCATGTTATTTTCAACACTACAACAAGTTTTAAAGCTCCATAATTTACACTTTTCCATTGTTTTATTTGAAGTGTTGATTCATAAGAAGATATAAAAAGCATCTCAGTGTAGTTTTACATCTCCTCTCTCAGGCTTCTCTCTGGAGCTCTAGTAACAACAGGTCGGTGAGCCAATCAGAAGAGAGGAGGCTCTGAGCCTCTCTTCTGATTGGCTGACTGTTTTCTGACTGATCCAATAAAAATATAGCAGATTTCAAGTAAAAACACTCAGAGAAACCAAATCCTGCAAGGTTTGGATGGTGGGTCCAGGTGGGCGGGGCTTGGTGACTGCTTTGTTGTGACATCACAAAGTTCCAGAAGTCCTGACGGCTGGTTTTAAGGCTCAGTTTCTGAATACAGGCTGTGTGCATTTCTCTGTGGACTGAGGCTTTGATACTTTCACAGTATTGATATAGAAGCTAGAGCTGATCTATAATCACACTACACATGGACACAGACCTTTACACTGGATGGAGCTTTAAGCTTTTGTAAGTCTTTTTGAATAAAAGCGTCTGCAGAATGAGTAAATGTAAATGTAAATTAAAGGTGCCCTGTGTCACAATGGAGTGATGTTTTTTATAGGACCTTCCTGTTTGTTAACATATCCCTACCAATGGTTTCACACTATTCTGATCTACAGGTGGTGCTACTATTGTATAACAAGATGCACAGTAATGTGCAATTAAAGGCAGAAGAAGAAGAATGTTAGCTAGTGAACATGGATGTAAACAATGTAAGATTTAAAATATTCAAAAAAGCAGCTTTGCAATTGTTTTGTAAGGAAGGAAATGCATCTCTCTTTTTTTTAGACAAAGACAAAGAACACAATGTGTTTTGGTAAAGAACACTGAATATAAACAAAACCTTTCTTTGTTCACAAGAAAACATGGCAGCTTTAATTGCTGAAGTCAATGTAAGTCACTTTGGATAAAAGCATCTGACCAGCAAGTGAATGCAAATACAAGACAGGTTTTTCTTATTTGGAAGAGAAACTAATGTGAACAGTATTACCTATTATTATCACAGTTTACAGACCCACTTCCTGCTTCAGCCTTGATCTAGTTATCACTTGCACTCACCTTCAGTTTCCATTTAGAAAATCTGGATAAACTGTTGGTTTGTTTACGACCAGTCTGATCATCAGACTGCTCGTCTTTCTCTCCCTGTCCGACTTTGTTCCAGTGTTATCGTAACTGATAGAAATAATGAGCAACATTATGAAAATATGTTGCAAGCCACAACTTGTCTTTTTTAGATACGGATTTTTCCCAGAATGTTAAACTGTGACTGTTCTCCAGTCTAAACCGGAAACCTGAAATTCATCCTTCATCTGAACAACCACCAACAAGATTAAATCTGCATTTGGAAGGAGAAAATACTAAAGATGCTTCTGTAAAATGTCCCAAACAGCAGTTGAAGTATTTTTCCTCCAGATTGTTGATGATGAGGTGTACAGGTGTTCCTAATAAACTGCTGAGTGAGTGAGTGAGTGAGTGAGTGAGTGAGTGAGTGAGTGAGTGAGTGAGGGAGGGAGGGCGGGGCTTACGGTGCAGAGCAGCCTACAGTCTCTTAAGAGTTTAATGAGTAGGTAAAGTCCAGGTAGGTTTAGGCTTCAGACAGGGTGTGTGTGTGTGTGTGTGTGTGTGTGTGTGTGTGTGTATTGTAATCCAATGCTTGTGTAATCGTCTGACATTAGAGGGTGTGACAGAGTAAACCCTGAACGCTGAGTCAGTCACACATCTCTCCCTCCATCTCTCCCTGCCTGGAGTGTGTTAGCTAATTATTGTTTCCTGTTGACTTAACACACACACACACACACACACACACACACACACACACACACACACACACACACACACACACACACACACAGCTCTGTTTCTGATTAGACGGTAGTTAACAGTGTGTCTCTGTGGCGGCTCCTTTAATTACAAGTTGTGTGTGTTTTCCTGAACCAGAAGTGTATCAGTGTAAACACAGTTGCGTAACATTGTTCCTTCTGTTATCTTCTTGTTGGTTCCTAAGGTTCTGTCACGTTCTGTTCCTTGTGTTGTTCTCCATCACCGTCCTCTCTTCTGAACTTTTCTCTGTGACTTTATTCTCTTCTGTGGTTCTAGTCTTCTCTCTTTGTTCTCCTCCGTTCTCCTCTGGTTTCCTTATTGTTCTTATAATCTCTGTTCTCTGGTATTCTCTCCTGTTCTTCTGTTCTTTTCTGCTCACTGTTCTCTACCTGTTCTCTTTTTTTGTTCTCCTTCTCTCCTGTTCTTTTCTTTTTCCGTCCTGGCTACCTCCTCGTTCTTCAGTTTTCTCCTCATTCTGTTCTGTTTCTCCTTTTTATGTTCTCCTCGGTTCTCTTTTCCCTCCTTTTTTTTCTCATCCTCTTCTCTCAAAGTTCTCTTATCTTTCTGTTTTCTTTGTTTCCCCTTTTTTTACTCGTTCTCTCCCCGTTCTCTCCCTGTTCTCTCACTGTTCTCTCTCCTTGTTCCGTTGTTGTTCTGCTCTGTTCTCTAAGGTTTCCCCCCCCTCTCTTCTCAGGTCAGCTGATTTCCGATGACATCTCTGAGATTTTCTCTCGGTTTAACAAAGAATTCATCACCCCGTACGCAAACAACCTTGCCACCAAGTCAGCCGGCGCCCACTATGACGACAGTTACCTTGGTAACCACACACACACATTTTGTCAGACATGCTGACGTGTGAATATCTGCTCATTGAAACACTGTTTAATGATAATAATAATCATAATAATGATGATGATAATAATGAACTTTACATAGAACAGTTCACCCATTAAAGCCGTGTGTTTATCTATTTGCAGCACACGTGTTGTCAGATTGATGATGTTGGTTTGTGTTTTGTCTATTTACATGTGTTTTCTTAAGTTGCGGTGCGTTGAGCTCTCAGGGCCACCGTACTCATTTCCATCTAATCACAAATGAATGATAAAGAACAGTTGACTGACAGTTGTCAGTGTAGAGCTGGATCCACTCAGAGTCGTCAGAGGAACATGTTGTTTGTCTGTGTTCTCCAGGATACTCTGTGACAGTCGGAGACTTCAATGATGATGGAAAAGAAGGTGAGGTGAATTCACCACTGTGTTTATATCACTGTTTTTATTCAAAACAGGCAGTTAATCTGATTATTAGATCTAAATCAGATCGAGCTGCGACTTTTAGTTAATTAATCAATTAGCTGATCGACAGCAACGATGATTGTTTAGTGATTTATAAAGAAAAATGTCGGAGGAGGATTCCCTGATGTTTTAATGTTGTGGCAACTGAATATCTCCGGGTTCTGTGACATCACTCTTGGGTGTTCAAATGATTAATTGATTAATAAAAAACAAATTAATCAATAATGAAAATAATTATTAGTTTCAGCTCTGATTAAAACTGGTCACAGTTATGTTTACACGGCGTTCTCTCCTCTGTAGATTATGTGACTGGAGTCCCTCGGGGGGAAAAGGCACTGGGTTATGTAAGTGTTAGTCCGCACTGTACACACACACACACACACGCACACACACACACACACACACACACACACACAGACACACACTGTATTAATGGATACTGACATATATATACTGACCATGTGAATCCAGTTGTTGTTGTTGTTGTTGTTGTGTGTTGCGTCAGCTGATCTCCTGTGTTGTCTTTCTGATTGATCCAGGTGAACATCTTCAACGGCCTCAACATGGAGTCCATGGTGAACTTCACAGGAACTCAGGTGAGCTGCAGGAGAGCGCAGACAGGCCCAGCTGCTGGAGGGTGTTGAGGGTCCACAGACAGAACCAGGACTGGTTTCTCTCTGTCAGTCACGTTTCATTTTACATCACACAGCGACTCTGAGATAAATCTTAAAGTGTGTGTAAACACTGAACTAAAGGCCGAATCTCCCAAACGCTGGGGGGGGGGTGGAAGAAGAAAGGGGAGGAAGAGGCAGACTGTCATCAGCAGAGTTAATGACACAGTTCCTCTTAACTTTCCTGTCCCTCCTCCATCTCACCCTCTGAACCCACCAACACTCATCTGTTTACTGCCCCCTGCCCCTCCCTCTCTCT